CCCCCCCCCCCCCCCCCCCAAGAAAAATTTCTCAAATCCAAAACCCTCGACCCCTTCCTCTCATCCGTCCTTTTTTTTCTCTCATAGTTATCATAGCACCTGGAATATACCTGGGCTTGCTAACCACTCGTCTGTTCTTAGATCTCTTTGGTCCTTTAGGTCCACTTCCTTAGACCCTGCCTTTGGAACCCCCAAAGGCGATTCGGTCACCACGGCTCTAGTAGCCTCCCTTCTGGTTCTTTGCCAAATTGTCTCCACTCAACGTCTCCGCGACACTCTTAACAACATTCCACCTCCTGGTCTTCTCTGAACTCTCGTCGGGTGCGCCTTTTTTCGTCCCATTGACGACCCCGGAGATTATTCCCCCGTTCTCTGAGCTGCCGCATAGGACTTCTTTCAAGGTTCTTCCTCTTCAGGGGGAAGGGTCTAGGAGGCTTGGTCCAGTCAACTACGGTTGTGACACTTTTCGTCCTCCCTAACGCGCAGTCGCCTGCCGGTTTTAAAAACTTTTTATTATCTCTCTATCTTCTATTCAAATTGTGCTGAGTTGCAGCGGCATGGTTATGGCACCGACTGCGTGTGTATCGACTGCTGAAGTATGCACCTTCAGAAAAGACTATAGCAATAGTCTGGACCATCTCGGTCTGCTCAGCAGTCATGGGGACAACAATTTGTTGCAATCATCGTTGACTGCCAAGGAACTTGTTTTGGATGTGCTGAAGAAGCGTGCAGCGGAGGTGGATGTGGATAACTGTGATCCTGGTGAGGAGGATGCTTTCTATGTGGCGGATATGGGTGAAGTCTACCGCCAGCATATGCGCTGGAAGATGAACTTGGGCCGTATCAAGCCCTTCTATGGTAGGCCTCTCTCTGCCACTGGATCGCCCACCCTGGAGCCCTGCTAACGCACACCGAACAGCTGTCAAGTGTAACCCGGACCCGGAAGTTCTCCGGCTCATGGCCCAGCTTGGAAACGGTTTCGACTGTGCCTCCAAGTCTGAGATCGAAATGGCCCTTCAGACGGGCATCGATCCTAGCCGCATTATCTATGCGCAGCCTTGCAAGACCAAGTCTTACCTGCGCTATGCAGCCGAGGTCGGCGTCAAGCAGATGACCTTCGACAATGCCGACGAGCTGTACAAGATCAAGGCCACCTTCCCTGAGGCGGAACTCTACCTCCGCATCTTGACCGACGACTCGACTAGCCTGTGCCGGCTGAGCATGAAGTTCGGTGCTTCCTTGGACCAAGCTCGTCCGTTGCTTGAACTGGCTTATAAATTGGACCTCAAGGTTGTTGGTGTGAGTTTCCATGTCGGATCCGGTGCCGAGGATCCTCGTGGTTTCCTCAAGGCCGTGCAGGATGCGCGCATGGTCTTCGACCATGCGGGAGAGATCGGCCATGAACTCCACACTTTGGATGTTGGCGGCGGATTCTGCCAGGACACTTTTGAGAAGTTCGCGGGCATTCTGAGCGAAGCCGTGGACACCTACTTCCCGCCGAACATTCGTGTGATCGCCGAGCCCGGTCGCTACTACGTAGCCACTGCCTATACTCTGGCCGCCAACGTCATTGCGCGACGTGACATTCCGGATCCCGACAATCCTTCTCGCGATGCCTTCATGTTGTACCTGAACGACGGTGTCTATGGTAACTTTTCGAACATCATCTTCGATCACCAGCACCCCATCGCTCAGATTCTCACTTGCGCCTCGGACGGCTCTCAGCCTGGTTCCCCGAACTCTGCGACTTCGGAGGACATCACTTACTCTATCTGGGGCCCTACCTGCGATGGCATCGATGTTATAAGTGAGCGTATTGCCTTGCCTGGCCTGCTGAACACCGGCGACTGGCTATACTTCGAAGAGATGGGAGCCTACACCAAGTGCAGCGCTACCCGTTTCAACGGCTTCTCTGACAACCACGAGGTGATCTATATCTCGAGCGAGCCTGGTGCCTCGGCTTTGCTCAACTACTAGTCTGGAATTTGTTTTGCTCCACAATCGTTTACAATTGTCTTTTTGTTTGGAATTACTTCTTGTTTGGTGACCTCTACCCTTCGGGGGCCGTCTAATATAGTATCTATCGTGCGTTCTCGCTACATATGCGACCGTGCTTTTCGCCCATTAGATTCTAAATTAGAGTAGAGATCGTCTTCTTCGCATCCACGTCGCTTGACTAGATATCTTTTGGTATCTGTTGTACTCGACCCTTTGCTCTATGATTATCGTTGATGCTTTCGACCACAAAATATAAACGATCTTCATGTTTAATTACAGGTGTATCATGCTCTATCATCACATTTACAAGGTATCATGAGAAATAAACGACATCACGGCATCTATGAAGAGCCAGGTCCATCGAAAGTCTAGACCAAGCGCTCCACACTCAACTCCACACCCTCTCCCTCGCCTGCCTGGACCAGCCCACCAGCTTCAAGCTTCTTCTTCCACTTGGCAGACTCGTATCGAGCCAGAATCAGTGTAATGCGGGCAATAACAGCCGGGTCTGCAGTCTCTGCAACCACAGCGGATGGAGTGCAAGTCCAGCGTCCAAACGCCCAGTTGAGAATATAATACTGCACCCCAGACGTCTCGGGCGTCTGTCTCGCACTCAAGTTATCCGATGTCTCCACGGGAAGATTCTGGTTTGAGCAGCGAACAATTCCCTTGATGCGATACACCTCCTCACGGGGCGCCAAAGAGAGAAACCGCTCGAGAGCAGCAACATCGACCGTCTTCCCCTCAACATCAGACTTCAAAACAACAGAAAGAACCTCCACCTCAGACTGATGATCATGCTGATGCTCATGTTCATGTCCATGTCCATGGTCCTCCTTAGCCCCATCCTCGGACTCCTTAAACAAAGCCCCATCAATACCAAGCATCACATCCATATCAACCCGACCCTTATTCGACTTAACCCAAGGCGTGTCGACCTCCAAATCACCCACCCGATCAAGGCAAACATCAAACCGCTCCGGCGAATCCTCCCACTTGTTAAAAACAATCAAGTCGGTATACTTCGCCTGGATCTTCGCCGTGTACGAAGTATCCTCATACCCCTCCCAGTTCTCGACATCAATAACGCTGATCACACCATCGAGGACGTAGTGTCCGCCCTCTTCACGCGCAAGCCGGTTCACCTCCATCGCGAGCGTTGCGGGGAACGCGCTGCCGCTGGTCTCGATGACGATGCGGTCGGGTTTGATTTCGGTGCGGAGCTGGTCCAGGGCATCGCTGAGTTGGCCGACGAGGTTGCAGCAGATACAGCCGTTGAGCATTTCGCGCACGCCGCTGATGGATTGTGTTGAGGCTAGTTGGGAGTCCACGGCTACGTCGCCGAATTCGTTTTTGAGGAGGGCGAGCTTGTAGGTCTTTGGGAGTTGCGGGATTAGGTTGAGGAGGATTGTTGTTTTGCCCGAGCCTAGGAAGCCCGTCACGATTGTTATAGGGATTGGCGCCATTTTTGCGGTGGTTGGCGACTTGTGTTGGTGTCAGAGGTTGTTGCTTTCTGATGTTCGCGGCATCAGGCTATCGCGGGATCGCCGATGGAGGGGCTGACTAGCCCTAGATTAGGTGCCCTAATTACCTCTTTGGGGTTGTAGATACATCGGGCTTCAATTTCAATTAAAAAGAATCTCATTCTTCAAAAGAAGGTAATATGATCGAGTCTCTCGCTCTTCTGGCTAATCATGCTATCAAATGAGATGGTAATGGCAACAAAATACGGAGAATCGTCGGCCTGTAAACAGCAACAAGCGCCAAACAAACCACTCAAAATGAATCAGAACTTGGGTAGTTGCCTCAATGTCTGCTAGATTTTGTTATATTTCGGTACCGGCGCTATCCTCATAATCCCGGGTCACGGTAACGACATCATCATACCAGGAAATAATCACTATGGCCTTAGGCAAATTCTTACTCCCTCATCCCAAGATGGAGCTGATTCGTATTCCTAAAAGTAGGTAGTATAAAAGGCTTACGTGGGATGCAACTTATGTAGGTACTTGTCTAGTTGTATGATGTGTGGCAGGTCGGATCGTTCTGCATGGTGATCTCAGCGGTTGTCCTGTGTATGCATGAGTCAAAAGACAGGCCTATGATATGCACTAATTGGGTAACACTTAGGCCACCCATGGTGACTAGAAAGACACTGACAAGGTAAATGGCCACAAAGAAGTTCCGTGGTCCTCGATCTACTTTCCTTCAGATAAAGTAGAAATACAGGTACATACTCCAGTCCTCCTCCACATCTTGCACGAACTACATACATGCCTCTTAATTTGGGCTTCTTTCCAGATATTAGACTATGTATACGGCCAATATTCTCTTTCAATACCAAGCAAGTGATTCTACTCTCCGTATTAGTGTCCTATACTCGTAATGTATTGCTAGGGCGTAGAAATACATCTTAAGAAGTACGGTGAATGCGAGAGTTGAGATTGAGTAGTTGACAAAGAAACCGTGAAGACTATATACATCGTGACGTATGCAGGCCAGACAGGCCTACAATAATTCAGATCTGGACTACCTTGATTCCCAAAAAAGAGCAGTTGCCCAAATCAAACGCCAACAATCAGATGATATCGCACAAAGTATCAATGTATCAGTGTCTCGAGACGGACCTACTCTTCGACCCCGTTGTTCCCTTGGTCCGTCTATCACTCGCCCTATTCCATGATCGATCCTCAGACTCAGACCGCTCGCGGCGGGAGTGACGTGCCGGTGCACCGCGCCTGGTAACCACCGAGTGGTCGGTGTAATTGGTAGACTGCTGATTGTGGTCTTGGTCAGATTCGGTACCGCCGGACCGATTCATATTTCCGGACTTAGAGCGCATTGTATGTGGAAGAGATTAAAAAATGGAGAGTCCAAGTTGAGTATTGTTAAGTTGAGCGATAATGTGTGAAGTAGAGTAGAGGTATTGGTCCTCTCTTATACAAAGTGGCGGCGGTGGCACACTTGACCCGAATATTGACATTGACTTCATTGTGAACACATCTTGATGCAATATACAAAGGGGCCACTTGATGAATTATCTTATTAACTTAACGATATTGGTTAGTGGATTGTTGAATGTCAACAGATTTGATATATATTTCTACTAAAATAAGTAGCATAACCGACTAGGAACAAAACTCTAAATGAAGGGATGTGGTCGTGCCGATCAAAATTGGCATTCAAATTTGAGATCGTCTCTCATTATTCTACCATATGAATCTATCTCCTCACGTCGGGATCGGATGACAATGAGACGATTTGAATCACAAGCGAAAAGAGCCGCAGGATAAAGTTTCCCCTGGACCTCGGCCCAGCATAGGAAAAGGAAAAAACACACGCGGGGACGAAAAGATTTCGTACCTCGTCACGATGTAAATTACCTGGATTATCTGATATATCTTTCAATCTCACCATTTGTTATAGTCCCAGTCCCTTGGTACCGTCACTCGTATTGGGTTAGCTGCACGCCTTAAATTCCACTGCAAAGGTTCCACTATGTCGGGTTCCAAGATTACCTGTTACTTCGACATCGTCAGCCCCTTCGCATACATTGCGTTCCATGTCCTGCAGGTATGGAGGAATTCTGATAATGTTTCCATATATCTAACATTGTTGTAGAATTCACCCGCCTTTGCGAAATGTGAAATTACCTATATTCCGATTCTGCTCGGAGGTCTCATGAACGCGTGTGGCAACAACCCTCCAATCAACATCAAGAGTGGGTGCATTTCCTGATTATGAGTTGGAGCATTGCAACAATGGGAGCTTATAAGTCTAACTGCTATTCAGATAAGAAAGACTACCTAGGCCAGCAGCGAGTGCGATGGGCGAAATATTTCTCAGTCCCCATTATAGAGGGATTCCCTAAAGGCTTTCCCTTCCGCACACTACCCGTGCAACGTGCGTTGTGTGCAATCTCCCAGCAAGCACCAGAAAAGCTCGCTCCGGTGATTGGGGCGATATTCCACGCGGTCTGGGTTGAAGGCAACACAGCCGTTGGCGAACCCGATGGCTTCGTCCCCGTTATCGAAAGCGTACTTGGGAAGCAGGAAACGCAAGAGATTATGTCTGCTGTAAGTCCATAATCATCCCACCCAAGATTCTAGCTAGTTTAATAAACATGGACCGCAAGGAACAAGCTAACCAAGCCTGTAGATGAACGATGCGGACACCAAGGCTCTTCTGACTGCGAATACTACTCGCTCCTTTGACTCGGGTGCTTTCGGGCTACCATGGTTCGAGTGCACGAATTCTAAGGGCGAGACCGAGGGGTTCTGGGGTGTCGATCATTTGGGCCAAGTAGCTGACTTCCTGGGTTTGGATCGCACGCTCGACAGAGGATTCAGGGCAGCTCTCTAGGGTCGAGTCCCGTGCATTGTGAAGTGTATTTTGAAATTCAACACTCAAATAGTTTCAGTCTCTGCAACATCTTATTATACACGTTAAGTAATGAGCGAGGATCCTGTCCCCTACAGAAGAGATGCGATCAGCGACATTCGGCATCTCCAACAAGCCGTAAAAGACAAAAATGATTCTAGATCTCCAGTCAATGGAGACCAGATCCCAAAACGCCAAGAATGTGCTCTGATTTGTCTACTTCGTTGGCCGTGGGTGCTTATTGCTCATATGCTTCTCTCGCAAAAAGTCACAAATCTGTTCGTTGCTCATTTTATCGATGCGATCGCGTTCCTCCTGGGAAATCTCTAAACATAACACCTTCGTCAACAACCAAGTCTTGTGTTGCTGGGAAACCGCTGGAAACAAAAAATATACCTTCAGATACCGTTTCTTCAACTTCCTTGGCTCCACCTGAAATGTTGTGAATATGATACTGCATGGTCTGTAACGCTCCCTGCGCAGCAGGTAATGCGCCCTCCATTAGAGTATCCTTTGCGGCGACAACCGTCTCCTGGGCGGCCGAGGTAACGGAACTCCCGAACTCCGAAATCGAGCCGCCAGGAGCCATCGAGTCAAATTGTTGTTTTATGCCCGCGAGAACCCCTTCCTGCCTATCGCACCCATCATCGTGATGGAGAGCAGCATTATTAACCTCCACCTCGCTCTCGGATTGCATCCTTTGTTCGAGCGCAACATTGGAATCCAAATACAATGAGTTGTTGGAGGCGTTTGGACTCATCGTAAAGTGTTTGGCTCGCTTGGAGTGTGAATATTTTTCGGATTCAGGGAACGACATGGGGGCGGATAATAGCGAAGTGGAATTATAAGCAGTGATGATAATGGTAAGCCGTAGGGCTGAGCCTGACGTAGGGCTGATTTCGGGTGATTCGGGGCGGGCAGGGTATATAACACTAGAGAGTAGGAGGACTGGCGACGATTGGTGTTTCTGAGTAGGCAGCAAGAATTTCCTTTGGGGTAATTGACCTTGTTTCACTGGACTTTTCCACGTCGGCCAAGATGTTGGAGGTCGATCGTTCCTAACAATGACGTCACTATGTTCCACTTCTGTTGTTCATCGACGACAAGAATACTCTGCACTATTCTGTTCCCAAGTTGGAGCTGGATCTTTGGCTAGGTAATGTTTTGTTGATGTTCTCACTTGTGTTCGAAGTGAAGTTACTTTTATGGGAATATCTTGCTACGAGGAGGGCTAACTCTATGGATCGGTCTAGGCTCCACTTCGTTCAAGGCATCATACTGGATCCTTTTAATGACTGGATTAACCATTCTTGTCGATCGAAAGACTAGAGGGTCAATTTAATATAGGAATTTGCATGTTGTACATGCGATCATCTCCTAAACTTGACTAGTTGTAGATAGCAGCCTGAAGGCCAGGAATGATCTCGAGATCCTTCGGCTTATAGGTATACTTCCCCTTAGAGGAAACCTTGACATCCCGATGTCTTCGCTGCTGCTGTGTTTGTCGAACTGTAACCCACTGCTCGGTCGTGAGGTGCTGCCCAAGTTCGGTGAACGCATTAGTAGTCAAGCCAAGCCTTTGAAGAAGGGGGCTGTTCTGGATGGGGTCAAGGACAACGTGGTTGTTGGGGCTATATTCCATTAGAATCTAAGAACTGTGTATGCAGGATATGTGAAAGAACTTACCGAGCAAAGTAGAGAACGCCCAACCGGTCAATATGGGCTTGGTCAGCAGGTGGCGCATGCACCCGATGAATACTCGACTTAATCAAACCACCAGTGAGCGCGGTCAAAGCATCGCATGTGTTGATAGTAATGGTTCCATCCTGGGGCTTCACCCACTTCCATTGACCCTCTGCATTGAGGATCTGAAGTGCGGCTACTGGTTGCCGGAATAGAAGAGTCACTGTACCCAAGTCTGTGTGACCGGGACTGTAGAGCTCGCCGACCTTCTTGTTATCCTCGGCGCTACGGGCAGCGTAATGCATATAGCGCAGATGGTCCTCGCCCTTGACGTCATATTGGTGATCGCGGACTAGCTGATTCTCATCGGGCAACTCGAGCAGGATTGCGAAGAGGCGGAGAAGCTTCTCGACGACTTCGGTATGACATTTCTATAGCTTTGGTTAGTTAGAGGAACGGGTGAAGCTAATAAAAGGGAAATCACCCGACTGAAAGTTTCAATCTCTTTAATATTGTCGGCAAGGACAGAAGGCTGGGGTCGCACGTGGTGACCGTCAAACTTTGGGAGATTATACACCTGGACATTATCCTTGACGCCATTTCCGAGGCTGAGATAGCATGTGTTAGTACTAATCGCATTTGTCCCTGGAAGCGACTTGGCTCTTACATTCGGTGTCCAGCAGGACGGTAAGAGTTGTATTCGCCCCTTTCAAGGTCACTGGCACTGTGGAACTTGAGTTTCTCCTCAAGCGGAAGGGCATAAAACTCTCGCCCTAGAGCGAACTGGTTGTCGATCTCTTCTTGGCTGATGTTGAAGTTTTTCACATAGAAGAATCCTGTTTCCAAAGTATGATTAGCACTCAACCTAGATTCCAAGTCCAATCAAAGTCTAGCTTGGGGACGTTGGAGGATGGGGCCGGTCTCGTATAGATTGCGGGTTTGGCATGGAGCAGATTGGGGAACCAACTTACCAACATTTCTGACAGCATGATCGAGCTGCTTGACAAGGTCTTCCTTTCCTCCTGGCTGTTCATACTGGCTCAGATCTAATGTGATAAGTTCGGCCCAGTCAACTAATCCCGGGGAGCTGTCAGCAAGACGAAGACACCAAGAAATCAAGCATTACGCACGGTCTTCCTTGGTCACAGGGACCTGGTCATATTTTTCAATGTATTTGCTTGGCATCTTGAATAATAAATGTTTCTGAGAGGTGATTACCGAGTATGTATCTGCAGCGACTTCAACTTACTCGTTACCACAACAACACCTCCTTAGGAAGGACGCATCATATATAAGTCCATTCGCACTTTATTCCGATCGTATACCCCGCATCAGATGCCCGGAGGGATTTATAAAGAGCACGCAATAAATTCGTCCGATGAGGCCTAAGATAACGGGTAGTTTTAGGCTTTTGGTGTGGTAGACCGGGATGCGCGCACGCCATCATGCGTAAGCATGTCGCCTCCGCTGGCGCATTAAAGTAAATATAAACTATGCTAGCTTCGGTTTCAGACCTCCTTTGGTCCTATAAATGGTCGATTTTGGCAATCTAGATTTGATGAAGGTGCGATGGTGACAGCGGGTGGGGGAATTGGTTAACATCTCCACAGGTAGCTGCTTTTTATATGCCGAGATGCTATAGCAGCTATAAGAAGTAATGGCGATAGTCTATAATTCAGTGATCTTTGTCTTTAGCACATTTGGGAGCAGCATCGGACGTCTGCCGAACCGTTCTCATGTCTGACCTGAAGGGCAAGGGTGGGAAATTGTCCCCTTTAGGACTTTTCAAAGAGATATTTAATTGGTACCCTTCATCGTATCCTGCCGAGGAGAGAAAGTGAGGATATCAATGTTTAGGAATATACCTGCAGGGATATGCTAACCTTTTTAGATTACTATTCAAGCTGGACTTGTCAATTCTGATATTTGCCTGTCTCTGCTGTAAGTACACAAGTCCAAATGAGCATCTCAGAAGATCAACTAACGAATCTAGTCTTTGTCAAGTATCTGGGTAAGCCTATTTCCATGGTAATTGCCCTTTGACTCGATACCAATATATCGCAGACCAGACAAACATTAGCAATGCGTATGTTAGTGGTCTGAAGGAGGACTTCGGCCTGTACGGCAATGAGCTCAACTACTTCAACGTCTGCTACTTTACATCATATGTCCTATTCCAAATCCCCGGACTACTTCTCATGTCACGCCCGAAGCTGTGAGTTTTAGCAATTGACATGTCTTCCCACTCATGTCAAGCCACTGACATATTTTATAGGGCTCGCTGGTTGTTACCTACCCTTGAAGTCCTTTGGGGTATCTGCACATTTGCCCAGAGTCGTGTCACCAACGTGCACCAGCTCTATGCCCTTCGTTTCTTGGTTGGCATGTTCGAAGCACCTGTCTTCGCTGGAACTCATTTTATTCTTGGTTGGTTCAACAAATATATATGGTTGTCTGGAACTGTACTAACTATAATGAAGGTTCATGGTACACGGGTCCCGAGCTATTCAAACGAGCCGGAACATGGTTCATCTGCAACCCGCTCGGTTCGATGGTTAGTGGATACCTACAGGCAGCTGCTTATACCAACCTCTCTGGCGTCGGCGGTATGCCAGGTTGGAGGTGGCTGTTCGTAATCGACGGAATATTCACTATCCCCGTGGCCTTACTCGGCTTCTTCATCTTCCCCGGTATTCCTGGATCACCCAGACCATTCTATATGACAGAGCGTGATGTTGCATTGGCCAAGGAAAGAACTGTCAGAGCCAAAATTCGCCAGCCTGGCAAGATGAGTCTCGACGTCTTCAAGAGGAGTTTCAAGAGATGGCACATCTGGGTCTTTATCACTTGCTACGCGTAAGTTTGGGGAGTGTTTAGCTTTTGAGCAGTCAATAAGCTAACGTCGATTTTAGTTGCATGATCATCTGCTCTTATCCGAGCAGCTATATGAGCCTATGGCTCAAACAAGAGGGATACTCCGTGACTCAAATTAATAAACTGCCAACTGTCACATACGCTATTAATATCGTGTCCTCCTGGCTAGGAACGACATTAGCAGCAATTTATCCTGCGTGGATTATTTACACCATTGCGTCGGCATGCTGTCTATTTTCGACATTATGCATGATAATTTGGAATATTCCTACAGCACTGAAGTAAGATACATTGTTAATGAGTCCTCAGATCGAGTCCGTGGTACTAACAGATCTACTCAAAGATTCGTTGCCTGGTATGTCTTCGGAGCGGCTGGATGCTTGAGTCCAATCCTATACTCCACCATCAATATAATAGTGAGGGATGATGCCGAGGAGCGCGCTCTCATCATGGTACGCCCATTTCCTCTATTCAATGCAAAAAGGAATTTAAATTGACCACCATCTGACTTCTACTATAGGGCTCCATGATGACCTTTGGCTATTCGTTCAACATCTGGGTTCCTTTGCTGGCATACCCAACTGCTGGCCCCGATGGTGCGCCGAGATGGCGAAAGGGATGGCCAATATCATTCGTCTTTTTCTTCCTACTATGGGCTGGTTTCGTGGCCTCTGTTTACATATGGCGAAGGTAAAGCCCCATTGATAGCTATTCGTGGAAATTCAACTGACATATATCCTAGGGAGCAAAAGAAAGAAGCCTTGGAGTCACCCCAGGAAAGTAGTGATGAGGAAACGGACACTGTGATAGTTGATGGGACACCGGCATTAAAGAACTGAATTAAACTTTGCGGACTTTTTGCGATTATTAAGTCCTTAGGTAGAGAATAAGAGGTTTCCTGTCATAGGATCTAATGTTTGTCATTATTTAACTCACAGCTCTAGCTAGGATACCTGACTGCAAAGGCCCCATAACAGAACCGGCTTCGTCGTATGTATGGATCTTCCGTTGTGATTCGCAATGACTGGTTTACGAAGGATAAAGGGGAGAGAATATGATTTAATTGCTAGTGATCTGTAATCTCGTTGCGGACACCTTCGTGGCATTGTTCATGTTGGAGAGTGACTTCAGACCTCCAGAAGTAAAGTGAAGGAAAAGTGAGACCCTTGTTACAACCTGTCCCTGGACTGGCGAGTTACAAACTAGGCTAAAAAGACCACTATATCTGAGCATTACGCTCAGATATTCCAGGCTCCGATATATATAGTACGAGTCATGACAACCCGTGTGACAAATTCAGGACCAAACTTTGAGTGCCGTGGTCATGACAATCTGATTGATCAACGTTCACCACTTCTATGGACACTGATTATTTCAAGGCCTTCGATGTTAACCACTCTAGCTGAGGCACGGCTTCTGGTAATCGCATAAAGAGCCGTAGTCTATAAGGTTGTTGTTTAGCGTGAATCCCAATTATTGGGCTGTTTTTCTCAGCCATCGGATACTCACCACCGCGCGGGCCTGCGAGTTTTCTCGGTAGCGAAGCCGCAGGTCACGATCGTAGTCCGCATCGCAAAGAGAGGTCAGCGCAATGCCTCGGTAAGACATGTTGTTCAAGCCAGCGAACAGTTCCCGACCCCAACTCAGGCCATAGAATTGGCACGGCGCCGAAGCCTTGTGCTATGGCCATAATCGGCGTCGCGCAATGAGCTCGAGGCTATGCCCAAGTAGGACATTATGCTAATACAGCAGCTGGTGTAATCTGAAGTTTGAGCAAGGTGGGTCTGGCGTGGTGAGAGAAAGGACGAAGAGAGGATCGAGAAGAAAGAGAAGAAAGATAAAAGAGGGATTGAAGTAACCTTGGAATAGAGGAAGGGACGTGAAAATGCTGGATGAAGTACCGACATACACTCCGTATGTGGCAGGCTTGCCTGTTGTCTTGATGTGGTTTCAACTCCAAAGCTTCACCCTTTAGCCCCGGTCAATATTAGCCAGATCGGAGGGTATCCCCCAGATTTGCGTTGCAAGGTTTGACCGTGAAATTTGGGAGGAAACTGTCAGGTCGAAAAATGATCCAAGTGTGCTTTAAAAGACCCAAAGGGACGGTTACTGGTACTCATCTGGGATCCTTCTTTCGATGGAAATGAAAGATCAACATGCAAAAATAAAATTGTAGTTGAGGAATCCAAAGTGAAAGGTTGCGAAGGGAGGAACTGGAGGGGTGAATGAGAATTGAAAGGTGGTGTTAATTCACGTATGTGAAGTTGAACTGAAAGCAGCTTATTTCCACATCCATTTTTTATCCATCGCTAGCCCTGTGAACGTGAAGCTGGCCGTTCGTATCACTTTGATCGGTCTCTCGACTGATCTATTTTCAACTCCTAAATGAGACCCCTTTGCGTAGAAAGCGTAGAGAGTATCGCAATCTTCGCATCGAATTTTGAACTCCTTGAGGTGGGTAGTCGTATTCCCACAGCATCCCTTATTTTCGCCCTTCGTAGAACAAATTTTGCATATCCATTTCCCAAAGAGTTGGATATCAGCTCCCTTTATTCCTCTAGGTTGTATCGGACTGCTTTCGAGAGATGCGATGGCAGTGCCAACAATCATTCCTGTTCACCTCTGCCCATTGGGTTGGCTGGTTCAACGACAGGTTCTAAATGCTGCTTTAGCTTTAATCATTAGCACCAGGTGTAGAGGCTAGGTCTCATCAAATATTGAATTGACCCAGAAGTCAAAACAAAAGTGGATATCACACTGAGAGTTCGGTGTTCTTCAGGGCCATGAGGGTCGAACCAATGAATAACTGCTGCTGATCTCTTGCACTAGGTATAACGGCACTGGAGGGCACTGGAGAGCACCAGTGAGATTACCGTCGGGGGATTCGTATAACTCTCAGCAACTCAAAATGGTCTCATGGTCTACAGATATCTTGTTAGGTAAAGCCAATATCAGAACATCAACGGGTCCAGATCTTTGCACGCACGCACCATTTAGCACTATATGACGTTGCAACCGCACCCTGTGGTTATAGTGACTTTAACAGAAGGTGAGACCTGTCAATATACGAATATACGACATGATTGCAACCTCATTGCGCTCTTTCTATGTCAAACCCATGGGCCATCAAGTCTGCGGAAGTGGGTAATTGAAAGACGAAAATAGAGGAGCAAGAATAATTCACTTGTCCGCAACTGCGTCTGTGTTTGGAGAGTTCCTGATTTGAGAATTCTTTCCCACGGCTGTGACACGTCGTGATTCCCAGTTTGAACCAGGTACAATCCAAGCTCAGACCATCGCAGTTCATTATATGTTCATTTAGGCTGTCGCCTTATATATAGAGCCCGGGGGAATTCCTAGGGAAGGTATTGTTCACAAATATCACGGCAGCTTTCTTGAAGTTGAACTATTAATTGACAACCAACAAGTGCATGAGGTGTCACGGCCTATAGCTTCATTGTTAGCGGTGATATCAAGGTATCGACTTAGGTCCAAACCTCATTGCGCGTGAGAAGACTGCAGGAGATAGAGCCTGGATACCCAACCGGTAATCGAGAGGAGGTCATGGGTAAGTGCAGGAGCCGGGCATGGGGAGTACTGGCTGGTGTCGGTTGGGATGACGAGAACAACAGATTGATTGGGGCGCTGGCTGGGCGGTGCAACAATATCGCATTGTAGTCAGCCTCTCATAGGGAGACATGGTGGAATTTCCCCCATGTTGAAAGTATGAAAGAAAAAATCGGAAATGACAAGCGGAGAAGAGAAAAGAAGGAAGTGGGAAAGTGGGCAGCTTTAAGTAGCCGTCTGAGGCAAACAAAAAACGTCGGAGCACTTACGACCAAGTAAGTATTCACGTCCAACGCCAGATTTAACTACCTAGTAATATACTGTCTCTGGATCTGGGTATTGAAGTACAGCTCGTGGAATTATTAGATAACTGTCTAACAAAAGCTATGTATGGGTGCTAAAAGAGAGTCCATATGCTCACCTGGTACTGACCGGACTATGCGGACCTGCCTAAAAAAGGACAAACAGAAGAATAATGCGAGATCTTCCGTGCAAAGATATGATTTCCTCAACGCTCATTTGGTTTATGGAGTACCTGCACCTTGCAGCAAAAGGAAACTATATTCTCCGGGCTTTTCTATGTACATAAATACCATCGAGGCGCCGGTCAATTTATTGCTCAAAGGCCCTCATAACCGCGAGGCCCGCAACTGAGCCCGATGCAACGCGATTGTGACCTAAAAGATTACTAGTCAGTCCATCGAATTCGGAGCCATGGGCGTTACTTCAACATACCACCGTATCGAATCCGTTCCCATCTAACTTTCTTCACAATCTCCGTGCCATCTTCATTGCTGATCTCGTTCTTCCAGATCTTGACCTCGCTAGGGTTACCGTCCTCGGCTTTGTGATACGTCATAGCGCCGGGAGCACTCTTGATGTCTTTGCCCGTGGCGGCCTCCCAAACACGGCGTCCTTCGTACCAGGGAATTTCGGCATCGTCTAAAGCATGAACGATCGTCAGATCAAGGCTTTTATCGGTGTATTCCATATCTACACGGTTCAAGGAAGTAGTGTTGACGCCGGTAAGACGAGCCAGTCTCCCAGCCGTATCCCAGTGATCCACAATATGGCTCAACAACCATTTCTGAGCCCGAGGATACCCCATGATGGGTGAAAGCATAGGCGGCGTGAGGCCTTTGAAGCTGTAGGATTCGATAAGATTGGCTAGGCTGCTGAAGGACGCCAATAGGACAACACCGGCAAATGGCTCGGCATTCTTGATGGCTGGTTGGATAGCAGCTGGGTCAGATGATCCGAATGCAAAACGCTCTGCCACAGCGGTTGTGACCGCAGTTCCCAGACTCTGGCCCACGATGACGATGCGAGAAGTGGGAACCTTTAATGGCCCCGCGGTAAGGAAGTTAATGAGGGATACGCCATCCGTGATAAGACCTTCCTCTGTGGGAGCTCCAGTGCTAACACCAAAGCCGCGATAGTCAATTGCGAAGACGTGAACTGGGTTTGAGGGGGTAGAAAGGCTCAGCATCGAGTTGTAAGTGGCAGGGCGTTGAGCAGAACCCAAGTGCGCTGCATTTCCATGGACTGGATTGGTCGAATGTCAGCTTATTGCAGTGGTAATTCAGGCTGTCTATCACCTACAGCTTACGACGACTCGTGCATTGGGTTCATTAGCGAGAAGCTTGTGGGCAACTGTCTTCGTGTAATCCTCGGCTGGGCCCGTAGAGGGATTCTCCATCAATTCCTTTTCGTGTTCCAAGCAAAGATGCAAGGGCATCAAGTGCCAGCCATAAATAGTTTCATTATCAGGCGTGACCAAATGAAACGGTTGGACTTGGGTTTCTTTGAGGGTCGGTTAGTATACTTAGTTCGATTAGCATTCACCGGGGCGGAGACACCATACTCAAAAATCCAAATTGCTCAACTTGATTGACATCCTGCCACAGGCTTGGGTTGATCTTGTTTGCATAAAGAACACTGTGTTGTCTATGTTAGCTCACTCTGAGCGTAGGCCCAGACTAAATACATACAAGCGTTGGACCTCTGGAAAGATTAAGGAGAGGAGACACAGCACATAGAGCAATCCACCGGCTGCAAGAGACCAGTAGGCCTTCTTGAAAATAGGTTTTAGCTCAACCATTATGTGTTCAGGGGTTGAGGTAATGTCTGTTGACAGCCAACCCTTGGAAGACGGAGGTGAGCGGACAATCTTGGAAGAGGCGCTGATAAGCGGCGCGTTATCGCGTCTCTCTCATTTCTCCCTTCCACCCTCTCCCCATCCCCCTCCAACATTTCGCTATAGAATGTTTTTTATAATTCCGTCGTGGATATTGTCATTATCTTTTTGAATCCACCATGGCCGAAAAGCGCAAACTCCCGGCCCGTGACCGCCGCGAATCTGCAGCCAAAAGACGTGTCTCCGAAGCCACGCCGCAGTCTCACAAGAAAAAGGCGCCAACTCCTCGCGCTCCATCCCCCGAACTAGTTGACGCTCCTCTGCCAACAAAGGTCAAGGATGGAGATCCCTTGCCTGTTGTCCGCATTCGACAGCCACTTTCCTTGTCGGACAATGAGTACCAGTCAATTGCTGAAAGGTTTGGCATCGCCGCCCCCAGTAGTGTTACATGACTGACATTCTCTTCTCTTCACAGTGCAGTTCTCCTCGCTTCACTCGAACGATCGAAGAAAAAATGGCTGAGCGATGGCATTCTTGTTCGATACTACACAAAACCGAAGAAAACGAAGCGCGAACAGATCGAAAAGAACAACCCATCGAAAGACACCATGACAAAAATCGGGCCCTGCGATGTGACGATCGGTCCCCATTTCTTTGATGCCATGATTTACATTGTCAAAGATCCCAGTGCACCGCCGGCACTTCAATACGCACCCCAGCAACGACCTATGGTTCACTATGGCCACCCTAATAACTTCCAACAATACCGACCGTATCCCACCCCATCCAATCAACAACGACCTGCGCAATATCCTCCCGCTCCTCCGGGTCGCCCAGGGTATACAGGAAGCCACCCTTCGCCACAACAAGCTCGTGGCCTGAATCAAGGCAATGCGCCCTCTCCCCAAGGAGGGCAAAAGCCACCCCAAGGGCAAAAGGGCCAACCAGCCAAGCCCAGTCCAGATCCTGTGATTCAAATGCTAGCTACAAGGGCAGCTGCAGACCCTGAACTGAAGGCCTTGATGCGTGTTGTTGCCTCAAGCCAAGCATCCCAGGAGCAGCTCCGGGCTTTCCAAGCACACATTGACGAACTCAACGCAATCATCAAATCAAGAGAGCAGCAAGAACAACGGCAGCAACCTGCAGCAGGACAACCAATTACACAACAATCAACCCCTACACCACAAGCTCAAACTCAGACCCAGAAACAACAAGGTGGTGGGACGAAGTCAGTATCGTTGGAGAAATCCCCCCAAACCTCGCAGACCCCATCCAAAGGTTCCAAGCAGCCACCTGTGAAAACGGAGGCGCAGCCTCAGACCCCTGCGCAAGCCCCACTGAGCCAGGCTCCTAAACCTCCCCAGAGCGCCACTGGACCGGGCACCATTAAGGAAGAGCAATCAGGCACAGAGCACAACGGATCCCAGCCTGCACCGTCCGGGGCAGGGCACCCAGTTGTACCGAACCAATCAACGACGCCTGGTGCTACAAGTACTCCAACCCCTGCTTCCACTTCCCAGCAGCAAAATCCTTCGGTAAAGCCAACACCACCAGCCAGCGCCCAACAGCCCGGGGCACGACCAGGACCACCATATACCCCCCACCAACAACCTGCTTACGGGTCACAACCTCCACTTCAGTCTCGCCCACCCCAATACGGATCTCCTGTCCCATTCCCCCGCCCACCTGCAATTCCTTACGTCTCTCCACTTGGCTCTCCGCCGGTGAACTACAAGTCTGTGGTGTTCGAATTCACATCCCCCTTAACTCCATATGGAAGCAGTACGTCAGGTCATGCTGGCTCGGGTGACCGCTATCTTTTCCCTGAGTACACTATTCTTGAATGGCTCCCAGCCGAGAACACGGTCATCGCCTCTTTTTTGGTAGTCCGGAAGGTTGCTCCAAACACACCATTCCCTCTTGAAACTGCCACAGAAGCTGCCAACTCCAAAAGCAAAGGAAAGGGGGCATCAAAAGCTAAGAGTGAAACGAAACCCAAAACTGAGAAGGGAAAACTACCAACCGATAGCCCAGTCCCCATTCCCCAGCCAGGGACGCCTGCGATTGGGACACCACAAAAGCAGGAATCTGCCGACCAACCAGGTCTTCTGACACCTGGCCTCCCAGGGACTCCTGTCAACGAGGCGAATCTCAAGGAATATTGGCAACCAGTCACGTTCCGCATCCACGCCCCCAATGCCAAAATCCTTGAACCTCTCGCCCGCGTCGTCAAGCCAGCCGACGAGGTGCGCAAATATATGAACGATATCATGGACCGCGCTGAGCGTGCCCCAGATGGCTACCTTGCCATGCGTCTGCCTCGCGAGGCGGCTTCAGAATCCTTCGAAAAGGACGGGACACCTGCTTCTTCCGGCAATGTCGGTTCCGGAACCCGCAGTCGTCTTTCCCGTGTTCAGCTCGCTGGTGAAGAATCCGAGCCTGAGAATTCTGCTTTCAAATTCGAGGAGGATGAAGAAGATCTCAAGGATTTCTATGATGCGCCGAGCGGGCTGCCACCGTTGAAGTTATGATGATAGGTTTGTATACTTCTTGAAGCGTCTGGAGGTCCACGGGCCCTTACATTCGGTGGTTATTCCAAACCGCACGCGGCATTGCAGAAAGATCGAGTAACTATATAGCATCGATCTACCAATCACTGAAAAATGTGGTTGAGAACGGAAAGGGCCCGGTGGCAACGGCAATCCTTGCGAAACGTTTCGAATTTATATAGAACTCAGAACCTCAAGGATGCCTCTGGGTTGAGGTTTGTACAATATATATGGTTCTACTTGTGCCAGTTGTTAAATCTACCATAATGAAACGTCGAAGCCCTTACGTTCAGAGATGCACTGGATGTCATCTTCGACTCCCAAATTTTGCGGGAGTAATATCTTGCCCCCAAACTACATATTTAAAAGACGGCAGATTGCATAAAAGTATGCTGCTGAAAATAATGCGAGCTTTGGTTGGCCCGAAGCATTCAGGCGTGTTGGGCAGGTAATTAATATACGTTTACTGTAATTTCGCTCCAATCCCAACACCAATGACACCAATTCGCGGACATTATACCACAGCCTCGTCCTGTAACATATTCAAACAAACGCTTGCTCAGTAAACAGCCAACAAACGGACCCCTTAACCCCTCCCACCAGAATATCTCGCTTCATCACCAATAATACCAGCCGCCTCCAAAAGCCACCTCGCACTCTCTCTCGCCGGATCCCCAGCCCCAGCCTTGATATTGACATTACGACGGCGCTCAGCCTCCCGTGCCTCAAACTCCCACTTTGCCCGCTGGATCTCCACCGGACTCAAGCTCGGGTCTACGGAGAACGACGAATCCGGATCTGGGATGATACCCCAAATCTCTAGGGTATATAGATCAAGCTTGATCTTTGTGGACGGGTCTTCGGGGGATGTATTGGCAGCGGGTAAGAAGACGCCGTCGTGTCCGAAGGGTGCAGCGTGGAACTCAGCCGTCTCTAGGTTCGCGTCGATTATGAGACTTGCTGCTCCGTGCGGGGCCGGGTAGGTCTGGTGCGTGCGGGACGGGGCTGGGATTTGGCAGCCAATTGCGATGCCGGTGTTGGGTGAGAAATACGCGATTGGGGTGTTGGGTTTCTTTGCAGATGATGAGGGATTGCCTGGGAGGAGTAGGTGTTTTGGGGATAGTTGGAAAAGGCAAGGGAGGAGGTCAGAATTGTTCGAAGATGAGCTTGAGGTTGATGTGGAAGTTTTCCACGTTTGGGGAATGTAGGCGCCGAGTGTTATCAATTCTTCGCTGCTTGAGTCTGCTAGAGATCCTTGCAGGAGGAGGAGGGTGGCAGTTTGCCAGGTAAGGACGTGGTGGGAGAAATATGTTAGGGAAGATCCGTGAGCGCTTGTGGAGAAGACGGGATGTAGTTTGACGCTGCTTCGAAGGATATTGATATCGGCTGATGTGGATGGGAGGAAGAATGAAAGATGCGAGGTAAGTGTTGGATTCAATATGGCCGACTCAAAGCTTCCCGGAAGTGTAAGTGCAGCCGGTGGTGAGGGGGGTTCTTCGTTTTCCTTGCTCTCCTCCTGTTCGGTCTCTGCAGCTTGGTCTTTATGGCGGCGTTGAGAGAGGTCCAAATTTTTGCTGAAAAGCATATGCTCAAAAAGAGCCGTGAGCGGATCGAACAGATATGGCAGAGACAGTGATATCGTTCGGGCAAAAGCCTTGTAAGATATCCCGTCCTCACTCTCTTCTGGTGAAAAGGCTGCAATGATACTGTCTGCTTCTTTCTTAACCAATTCCATATGTTGACCATCCAGTCCAGACGTGTAGACTTTCGTAGACTCTAATGGCTTTAGTGGTGCAATGACAAGCAGCAACATAAGTAACCGGCGGAATGTATTGATAGAAATCCGGGTCTCGTAAACGGTCTTGTCGACACGGTGATCGTGTTTGAATACTTCAATCGCATCAAGAGACTCTAGTGCTGCAAGTGCAAGGTCGTCATCCTCATCCTCATCGTACTCATCGTTGGCCGATTCGTCTATGGAGAACCCCAGCGCATGAGAATGTCCAGTTGAAGCTTCGGAATCCTTAGGGATACTTTCTCCGTTAGAGTCGGCGGGGGTCTTCCTCCCCACATCAGCCAGACTACCAAAGAGTAGCTTGATTCGATCCTTGTGCCCACGCTTCAGCGCTTTCCCATAGCGCTCAGTCAAGAGCACAACTACCTTGACCATGGCCTCAAAGGTCAGCACACTGGGCGCGAGCGTGTTTTGGAATGGAAATGCTCCCAGATAAGAGACCATTCGAAATATCACCGGTCCTGCATCTAAGTGCTGGTTATGCGAAGCGCTATAGATACCATCTGGGATGCCTAAGAAGTCTGAGAGGACTTTCTCATTCCAGTACCGCAGGCCTCCCTGCTCTAAGGCCCGAGAGTAGAAGTTGTCTTTGAAATGCGTGAGTTCTAATGGAGTAAAGCATTTCGTGGCGAAGCGTTCAGCGAGCACCAAACTTAACTCCTCTGTTTATGCATGTTGTTAGAAATACCATATTCACAAGACGGAGAGGTTTCTTTGTCAAGCACAAGGCCATGTTGTTCACAATCATGGTTGATCAAGCAAGTGTGACATTGTTATGTATCCTGAACCTAACCATAAATGTAGCAGATCGAACTCACCTGGGGATGATGCGCCATGCTCATTGGACTGGGCTACACCCATTGTTGATGGTTGATGCGGGGACGACCCCACTGTTGGGCGACTGCTACGGAACGTAGCAGTGCTCAGGAGCTGAGATCAAGCGAGAAGTTGGAAGAAGAGAAAGAGGTAGAGTTAAATGGTTCAATGATCAAGTCACCCCTACAAAAGCAGCATCAATGAAGAGTAGTAAGTCAACATGGAGAGTGGAATTCCATGAGACGACGTCAGGCCGTTGCCTGAGGCATCCTGCTCTAGACTCTTGTTTTTTATGCCTGAGGCTTCAATTACCTGTGCAGATTACGTAAGGTTAGCTAATGATGCGAGGTCCAAGCTCTAGAGTCAATACTTCACGTGATAACTACCCCTGATGATCATCACTCCATGTCACGTGATTACTCTCAATCTTATATCCAATTCACCACCTACCTACGTACCTACAGCTGTTGTAGGTGGCCTCCCGACATCTATGAATCTGAAACCCCACCTAGGCACTATTCTTTGTTTGTTTGCACTTCATCACTTCGGACTTTTTTCGGCCTCCTTTGGCTTACGTACCATTTATGTGGAGAACTAACTGGCAATGCAACCAACGATATAGCATTATTAGCAGCTACTAATTCTCTTGTTAGGAGGAGACATTCATCCACAGGGTTGAAACGCTCATGTCATTTTGACGATCAATCGAGCCTATTGAGGCTGAGTCAGAATACATACTCCATACTCCCCACTGCTGAGCTGATGGGTTGGTCGAAGGAGCTTCGGCCATCGACCCACAATCAAACCTTGAATAGATTAACACACATACTCAATCGGGAATATTTCCGTAAATGTAGAAACGCTACAGAGTATTGAGCATCTAAGATCCTTATAGACACTTTGCCCCGATGAAAATTTAATCGTTGTCCTCTCCCTGCGCTTTCATTCAAATATACCATGTAACCCCTCTAGTATAGCGCCTCCTGGGCAATATGAGACATTTAGTCTGTCACACTAGTCGTATCTACTCCAAGGGATACAACATATTTAATTTAAGTGTATGTGTTTGCTAGTATTGTGTATGTCGGCATATCTCCTAGGTATGTATTTTAGGATGTATTTTAGGATGTATTTTGATGTGGGTATGTATTGTGACGGTGTATTATAAAGGTATTGTTACGTTGTATGTAATTCGGACTACAATCCAGGTATCTGTATCTATACCAACCTCCATGCAGAATGGGGCTGTTGTAGAAAGCAGGTTATAGTGCGGAGTACTTCGTAGCGTGCATACACTTGCAGGGATCCAAACTCGATGCGATTCGTTCCTAGTTTTTTTTTAGGAAGCTCCTTGACAAGCCAAACAAAAACGTAAACCTTCCACAGGGCTAAAAAAACTACTTAGTTAGCGCTGACGACTGTGTGAACATTTGAGTCATTTATATCCATCTAGATTCAATGTAATGGTGTTCTTATTTTATACACAACCCTGAAGTTATAAGAGTTATATTGCACATTTCTTTCGAATTCACGGTCTCGTAAGGTAAATTGTTTCGCGTCGAGGGCTGGGGTACGTTGTATATTGAGTGATACAACATATGTATTGGGAGATCTAGACGGTCTGAAGAGACTTAGTACCTACTCCGAGGGGAAACGGACAAATATACGTACCAGTTTTAACAACGAGCTATTGGGATATTGTTCTTGCATAGCTAACCGCCACTCAGCATCAAGACGCAGCAAATTCCCTGATACTAAACATTAGCGGCATGAAGCCAATGTTGGGAGTTAGCAATATGATCTAGACTCGACGGTTGTATACCGTTTTCTCCATGGCCATTCAATTCACCGAGATAAAATGAAATTAGATTGTTCCTTCTATTGGCTAACATTTATGACACACTGCTTACTTTCTGACCATGCTGGCAAGTGATATCATTATCCTATGACCTAAATAAAAAGTGTAGATGGTGTAGATGCGTAAAGAAAGCACACAGGACATAAAAGGGCACGTAGCTATGGCTCTATAAACTGCCTGAAGAAAATTTCCATCATTTTCTGTTCGCAACTCATCCCACCACAATGTCTCTCTCAGCTTATACCACAAACCGTTAAAGAATTACAATTATCTTAATATTTATCTTCCAATGGTTGGACCCGACAGTCAGCAGATTTGAAATCGCACTGCAGCTCTGGTTTCTATGACATTAATTGATTGGTAATCGACCATGTAGTCAGGTACATGTTTGTTCTCCATAAACTCATTCTCTCCGATGATGGTGATTGAACATGCAATGGAACACCAGCATCTGACACTCGCATCGAGATGGCCTCGACCAGCTGTCATGGGACCTGGCTTTGCACGCTGAGGTTGAAGAGGCCATATATGATGTTTTCAAACAGCATCGATTATATGCTGTCGGATGCCTCATCCATATGGTACAGCCTTTGTTCTGCCTTATATAATGTGTGAGAGAGGTTTTTTTTGGCAGATTAACTCCTGTTTCCTTGGGCACTCGATCACCTTTTGCGTTATCCCTTTTTTTCCTATAATCAGGATCGTCTGCATGGTATATAATGCAGAAAACAGGTGTGTTGTCTTCAAAATATGATATACTTAATAGATGGTGCGCACCTACCTTCAGAATATATTTCAACAGCGGCCAAACAATCAACTCTGTAAATTGTACGAAATAGTCTATAAACTCCACAGAGATAACCCTCATAGTTTACTCTTGATGTCATTGATCTAAAACACTCACAATAGATCAACTTTGCTCATTAGATGAGAACTTCAGTCGGGGATGCACGCAGATGGCCTGCGCGCCTTTCTGCCCGAAGCCGAATGAGGTGATCGACACAGCCTTGAGATCAGGCACGTGCACTGGCCGATTCAGATAAGCAATCAGGTCATACTGCTGTAGAGCCGAGTCGATATTATCGGCGTTGCGATTACCTGGAATTCAGCATCTGCAGCGCCCCGTTGACCATCCATGCACCGGCAGCACCTTTGGAATGACCAGTCAGGTATTTCTGGAAGACCCTCCAGAAGCAGATTGCCCTTACGTCGCCCTAGTGCTGTCAGCTGCTGCTGGAGGACGCTGGATTCATTCTTATCGTTCATCATGGTGGACGTGCCATGGAACGAAGCCACCCGCAGGTCGTCGATGGTCAGACCCCAGGTCGCGAGGGCCCCGGTCAGCGGGGCGATAGATGAGTCGTGGCGCCAGAAATCATTACCCAGCGAATACTGAGCATCTCGCTCTTCTTGGAGGAAGTCTCCTAGGATCTGCTCGTGGCGTTCCTGGCGATACGTGACCACGTCAATTCCAGGGTCTTGTTCTAGTACCACATTCACTTCGAAATCAAGCTGATCGAGCGCCACTGCCCGGGCCTCAGAGATCTGCTTACGTCGGAAGTTGAGACGATGGCGATTACTCATCTTTAGCAAAGGAGAAGGAATGTTTGACGCTGACGTTGTGCGCCTTGCGTTGACTAGCACACCCTGCCCTGGGGCTGGGACAGAGCGGCCAGCCTTATCACTGGAGGTGCTCACAAAAGCAACAATGCCGCGGATCGGGAGCCCCATCTTCAGCGCCAAATCGGCAGTAGTCAGGACCTGCAAGCCGCAGCCTTGTGATTCTATAAACCCATTACGAGTCGTGGTGGTTGGTCGCGACATTTCGCTAGGCGCTCTGCCTCGCGCAATCTCATCGAGGGAATTGGTTGTCGCCTTCATGTTGGCAAATTCATATGAGGTCTCCGATGTGAAGTCATCACACCCCCCAACGAGGCAGAATTTGGCCTTTCCAGTCACAATCGTGTCATAGCCCAACTCTAGGGACTCCACGGCGGTCGCGCAGGCTCCAACTGGGGTTCGTATGGGACCACTGGCTGATAGCAGCAGCATGTTGACCCAGGCACTGATAGTATTGACAAACGTCTCTTGTAGGATGTCACTCTGGACTTCCTGCCCGGTGAATCGACCGTTGAACATTTTTCCTAGAGACTGGCTGTTTAGTTTTCGTGTCGACCCCAGCCGGAGTACGGCTGCCCTTCAATGACACCAGAGAAGTGAGTGATGAAACCCATCATCCACGCCATTTCGATAGCGCCCTCTAGGGAAAACTTTCCTTGGGCTTCCATTTCCCATCGTGTGCGGGCATTGCCATGCGGTCCTAGTTCAGAAAAACCCATGACTACAACCGTGCGGTGCAGATCTACCATTCCCTGCATGTCCGCGCTGAGAGGTGCGATGTCGCGATCGTATTCTTGAACCCGAGGGAAGTCCTGCCGGACATGCGCTCTATGTTCTAGCTCAGATACAGCTGCTGCCTGTGCTACCGGGCTCGACCACTCCGCCTCGATCTTATCCTCTTGGAATAAAGCGGCTTGAATCTCACTGCGATCCTTGAGGTTCTTGTCGCAGCTGGCCTAGGGATTCTGGTAGGTTGGGGACTTGGGCCATACCGCCTGTAAGATCGGCATAGACCGGTGCTTCCTGGCAGAGCTCGTACATCGGGCCGACGCAGAGGCAAACCAGTGCATAAGCCATCTCCTGAGAAAAAGTCCGCATTCCGGCCTTCTCGATTCCCTCAGCCACGAGATCATTCTGATTCATCAGTCCCGTGCCACGCGTCCAACCGATGACGGCGCCACAAATGGAGAGATAGTCCTGCCAGTTCTCTGAATACCAGCTGTTAAAGAGCGTTTCAAGGGCCAGCTTCGATTCACTATAGAGGCCATCCCCACCGAACGTGCCGTGGCTTGGGATAGCGGTAACAAAACCTGGGTAGGGTGCGACCGATGGCCATGTTTTTCTTTGTAGGTCTTCACGATCCCCAGCAACCGCAATATGTTGGTGAGCATGATTCGATGCGCAAGCTCCGATTTGGAGTCAATAATATCTAGGGCCCGTCTTTCTCATCATACACGTATTCCACTAGGGCGGCAACGTCCTGTGTACTCCCCTGGTTGAAAGGTATGACCACAAGCTCTGAGCCTCGCGCTCCATGCTCCATCTACAGGGCTTGATACTTTTGCGCTACCTGTGGAGACATCGAAGAGGTTGTGACAAGCACTCGTGCTCCCCCTTGGAGGAAATGCATAATCATGGCGGCTCCGATAGACCCGATTCCAGCCCCTGTGATCAACACCGTTTGGGCACTCAGAGAATCACCTTGTGTTTCCACTTCGTGGAGAGCCTGGTAAAGATGACGGGTCAGCTCCGCGGAGTACTCCCATCTGGATGCTGATCGCTTTTTCAGATGCAGGTATGGTTCAGTTGCGACTAGAGGGTTTCCGGCCGGTCCCGATCTTGGCATGGCGAGGTCGGCAAAGCGTGATACCTCTGTCCGGGGTTGTTCCTGATACTGCAGGCTCCCTTGGTCATCCATCGTTGTGACGCGCGCCATTTGCCGGGGAGCACCTTTGATTGCTGGTCCCGACAGCAAGCTATCCGTACAATTGTCTTTCAGTGTCTGAAAGATCGGTCGCAACTGAGAGCGATCTTGTAATTGAGAAATCATCTCATCCAACACCGGCAAGATCGTCTTGTCCGATGCGTTTGCAATGTGATAGCACCTCTTCACCACCTCAGCTCGATCTAGCATGCTGGTGTCTGCGACGGTTGATGTAAGATCAAACAGCTCCAACAGACTTTGGCGTGCCCAATTCCACGCTGAATCATAGCTCCGGATCATTTTGGCATCAAACCGTGGTCGAATACCCTGGGCATAGTCCGAACCATGCTCTGCATGCCAGAGATTGAGGTCGGCTTGAAGTCCGGTGGCTATCTCGTCGCGCAGGCTATCCAACGCCTGTCGATCCGCCTCCAGATCCACCCCTAAATGGGCGGCATAGATCTCGAGCAAGCGCTTCGACAAGGCATCTTGGGATTCGGTCAGGGCTCGGACCGCTTCTGGATCCATCGTGACTCCAATGGCCGCGCCACTAACATGCGATGCCTCAGGTGGAAGAAGCGTTAACCCTTCCCGTTTGGCATATACATCGACGGCACGCGAAATAAAGTCACGAGCGTCGGATTCAGCGGCGATTCGGCTGGTGGGTTGCATGGTGACGGCGCAGAGCAAACATGCGTCTTGTGAACCCGATTGAAGTCCCCACTGGGTGTGTAGCTGCTCTCGAGCAGTGGCAACAGTGAAGTTGCTGGGCATTTTTGCGGTGAATAGGCTGTTGATCATGGCGGTGGTGACCTTCCCCAGGCCACCTTTATGGCTCGACTGGATTTCTGGCCCAACTTGGGCGAGCGGCAAGTCCTCAGCGCGGTCCGGCAACAAGCCAAATTCGCTATGTAGGTCACCGATAATTTCATTTTCCAAGATTGATCTGCCTGCAGGATGGTGCTCGATTGATTAGCACGCATGATATTTACACGGGAATGTCGAAATATTTTCCTTCGGCCAGAGCCTTGATAGACTTGCTCCCATCAATTTCAGCTGCCGATCGCTTGAGCGCTCTGGCAACAATTGCGAATAAGATATCTTGCGCCTGGATGCTTTGATCCTCGATATCGATGACTTTAATGTGCACTTTTGGGGGCAGGGCTGTCGTTGTCACCTCCATGGTGACTGTGGGAGCCAGCAGGGCTGCCTCCGGGTTTGGTGGTAACATCTGTGTTTCCTTCTGTGTCTGTGTCTCCACTGGATTTAGTTGATTTGGCTCCCCGGTGTAGTAGATGTCGTCCATGTCTTTTTCGGAATGGAGGAGCTGGCGCGGTGCCGGCAAAGTACATTCTTTGGTTGGATGGGTTGTGTCGATGGTTTTGCGCAACATACCCAGCAACGTTGCACTTGGACCAACCACAATGATGCGCTCGGTCTCTGTGCGAGACACAATCACATCTTGGGTTTCGATCCATCGCACAGGGGAGGCAAACTGGTACCTAATGGGGTGCTTGGCTGCTTAGTTCAAGATCTTGTCTTCTGGGAGTATGAGATCTACTCACACCATCAACTCCATCAAGAGCGTGCGTGCGAGCTTCCGCTCAGTATCATCGTTCATCATCATTGTGTTTTGTTTTTCTTCTGCACTTGGCCTGCCCTGAACCACCTTGAAGGGAGTCTGTAGCGTAGGTAGTCGGAAGAGCCTTCTGCTTTTCCTGGCTGCAGGCTCTCTGTCGACTTCACATGTGGATATTTATTCAAGCTACTGTTCAGGACTAGATCTTACATGAGCTGTTATATGTGCGTGTAGGCACATTTCCACCTATATGGGACACCTGCCTGTGTGATCATGGCGTATCGATGGCTTAGTATGTAAGAGTGTAATAGTGTAATCTACATGTGTGTATGTATGTATATTTATTCCTCCATTACGCAGGTACACGTATCTGTATCGTGGTACGTATCAGTAACGGTACGTATGTATCTTATAGATTATCAGACTAGCAGACGCTAAAGAATATGTAATCTTAATATATAGCATGGTCTCAGCATCCAATCAATTACGCACCAGGTGTCACTAAGGATATTACAAGCAAGAAGCTCTGATGACAAGATAAAGCCTCAATTATTTCGCTTACGCACGGATGGGGTGATCACGGTGGATTCCCCAGGACATTTACGGCCGTATGAGATTTATCATTTATCATTTTTCCGTCTTGGCCAAAATTGGCGAAACCAATGTACTATGGAGACAGTTTGGGGGCTATTTACCTGATTCATGAAAATAAAAATAAAATAAAAGATAAAAAAATAAAAATAAGACGTGGCCTGACTGGGAGTAGAGATCTCGGCACTTCCAGTTATCTTACTCATCTGCCGTCACGGGCCAGAGCCAGTCCCCATCATTAGCAGCTATACCCTTCTGCGCCGCCATCAAAGCCTTCGAAAGACACTGACAACCCTCACCAGGTCCATCAACCGCAAAATTGAAAACATCTTCTGTAGCACGTATGCCACTAGGGCGGCAACGTCCTGTGTACTCCCCTGGTTGAAAGGTATGACCACAACCGTCATTTGGTGTCGAGCGCCCAAATTGCAGTCGAGGTTGTGGTCCCTCACGGAGACCGAGATCAAGCTCTCCTAGCTGTCTTCGTCTTCAAGCCAGTCAGACTGGCAGGCAGCGAGCTCCTTGGACAAGTCACCCCAGACTTACGAGCCTGGGCATTGGATCTCAAGGCTCAACTCGCTCGGGTCCTTCCACCATATATGCAACCATCTCTGTACGTTCCAACCAATTGGGTGCCAACAACTTCTGCACATAAACTAGACCGGAAGACACTTCGCAACGCGGTGGCAAAGCTGAGCGATGGTCAGTTGAAGGGTTACTCCCTTCGCGAAGATGGTCGCCGCGTGCCTGATACTGTATCTGAGAAGAAGGTCCAGGAACTCTGGCATCGCATCCTGAAGATTTCCAAGGAGGAAATCCGATCAGAGGACAACTTCTTCCAGATGGGCGGAGATTCCATTTCAGCGATGAAAATGGCTGCTACTCTACGGATGAAGACTTTCCCCTCACCGTCATGGATATTTTCCAGTATCCCGTGTTATTCGAGTTGGCTGCCGTCATGGCTGCTAAAGGGTTCGGCAATGGCTACGACCGTCTCTCTTTGAAGCCATTTGAACTCCTGGACAATACTCTGGAGATTTCTGGAATCGTGGGTGAAATTAGCCGTCAATACCCCATCCCGTCTGAGTTCATTGAAGACGTCTACTCAACTAGTCCCCTTCAAGAGGGCATGATGGCGCTTTCCATGCTCAACCCCAAGTCTTACATCCTGCGACGAGTTCTCCGCCTCGGTCCCAATCTGGATGTTGCTCGATTCAAATCTGCTTGGGAGCTAGCTGCCGAGAAGAACCCGATCCTCCGCACGCGCTTCGTACCGACTCCAGATGCCGGGTTTGTACAGGTTGTGGTGAAAGGCAGTATTGACTGGAGGAGGGCAGCCGATCTGAAGCAGTACCTGGAGCGTGATCAGGCGGAGGGAATGGTATACGGGGCTGCACCAGTGCGATATGGTCTCACAGAAGACGGTTACTTTATCTGGACCGCGCATCACGCCGTGTACGATGGCTGGTCGCTGCCGTTGATTATCAGTCAAGTCCAGTCCGCCTACGAGCACGGCAAATGCCCCGATTCCACGCCATTCAATACCTTCGTCAAGCATCTGCAGACCACCGATAATCAATCTAGTCAGTCCTTTTGGGCAGAGCAACTGTCCGGGCCACGTCCATCGGCATTCCCCCAACTGCCCTCCCTATCATACCGACCTTCTGTTAAGGGCAAGTTGCAGCACGAAATCCCCGTGCCACACCTTGCAGACTCCACCATCCTCAGAACCACCATCCTGCAAGCTGCATGGGGCCTAGTCCTTTCCAGATATGCAGATAGCGATCATATTGTATTCGGCATGACCCTCTCTGGAAGCAACGGTCCGGTTTCTGGCATTGATACCATGATTGGTCCAACCATCACAACAGTGCCTATGCGGATGAAATTCCCTCCCGCGCTCACTGTAAGTGAGTTCCTTGCCCAGGTTCAGCAACAGTCGACGAAGATGACTCCTCATGAACATTTCGGGGTGCAAAATATTGCCAGCATCAGCTCAGACTGCGCCCGCGGAATCGAATTCCAGAATTTATTCGTCATTCAACCAGTGTCAGACGCCACTGAGATTGGGGATCTCTTTCCCGGTGTAGAAGAGGTCGAGCTACCCCTAGAGGACTTTGAAAGTTATCCCTTGGTAGTTGAATGCTTCGTCGCCGACGACAAAATCACCATTGAGACCCGCCATGACGAGAATGCCCTCTCCACCTGGCAGGTGCAGACTATCATGCACCATTTCGAGCACATCTTGAAACAAGTCACACAAACTAATGCCCAGGAAGCGCAGGTAGCCTCTGTCGACCTCGTCGGCGCTTACGACCTCGAGCAGATCATGCAGTGGAATAAGCAGTATCCTGAAACTGTCGACTCAACTGTACCAGCGATCTTTGCTGAGCAGATCTTACAACAGCCAGAGGCCTTAGCTGTTGATGCTTGGGACGGCCGTTTGACATACGCTGAACTTGATCACCTTTCGACGACCCTTGCTCGCCATCTCGTCTACGTTCCAGAGGCTCTCGTGCCTCTATGCTTTGACAAGTCGCGATGGGCTGTTGTCGCACAGATGGCTGTCATGAAAGCCGGCGGTGCTTGTGTCAATCTCGACCCTGCGCACCCCCAATCTCGTCTCGAAACTATTGTTAAAGATGCTAAGGCCACAGTCCTTCTGAAAAATCCTATGCCGATGTCCTCGGAGCCTCGGTCGTGTTGCAGGCTGTTGTTGTGACAGAGGACTTCATTTTAAGTCTCAAAGGCCTGACGCACGAGCTGCCAACTATCAGTCCTCAAAATGTCGTCTATGTGCTTTTCACCTCGGGAAGCACTGGTAAACCCAAGGGTATCGTCATTGAGCACGGCTCGCTCTGTTCAAGCTCCAAAGCCCATAGAACACGCTGGGGAATCTGCCCTGGAACTCGACTCCTGCAATTTGCTGCGTATACATTTGATGTGAGCTGTGCGGATATATTCACCACGTTGCAACGCGGTGGCTGTATTTGTATACCATCCGAGGAGCAACGCCTAAATGACCTGCCGGGGGCAATTAACAGCTTCTAGTGCAACTGGGCGTTCTTGACTCCCACGGTCGCTGCTCTACTCCCGGCAGATAATCTCCCGTCACTTAAAACTCTAGTTCTCGGCGGTGAGGCCTCCACACGCAATACCATCGCCAAGTGGCATAGTGTTCTCGATCTCATTGTCTGCTACGGTCCTGCAGAATGCTCCGTATACTGCTCTGGTGCTCCTCCAGCCATCGCTACCAGTAACCCGGCAGACCTAGGTGCAGCCATTGGCTCCCTGTATTGGATCGCTCACCCGCAGGACTCCAACCGCCTCACGCCCCTAGGCTGTATTGGAGAACTGCTTCTGCAAGGCCTAACAGTTGCCCGAGGCTATCTTTATGATGCCGAAAAGACCTCCCAGGCATTCGTCTCGAACCCTATATGGGCACCTCTTTCAGGTTCTCGATTCTATCGCACTGGTGACCTGGTTCGATACAATGAAGACGGCACGATCCGGTTCGTGGGTCGTAAAGACACTCAGGTCAAGGTCCGTGGCCAGCGAGTGGAACTGGGTGAAATCGAGCATGCCATTCGTCTTGCAATGCCCACTCTCGCCCACACGACTGTAGGTGCGGTACAAGATCCTAGTCGTCCACGGCAGATTGTGGTGGCTTTCTTGCATTATAGCAATCGGAGTGGCCCTATCGAGGTCAAGGATATGTCCGACAAACTACAAGAAGAGCTCGTCACACTGCAACAGAGCCTTGGCTAATATCTCCTATCATACATGATCCCATCTATGTTCATCTCCCTATCCCGTGTGCCTCTGACCATTAATGCCAAAGCTGATCGTCGACAATTACGCGATCTGGCGACATCCCGGTCTCAAGAGGATAACTTAGCATTTTCCCTGGCCAACAGCGTGAAGCAGGAACCGAGCACGCCAACGGAAATGCAGCTCCGTGCATTGTGGGCCAAGGTCTTCCAGGTTGAAGAGCATGTCCTGGGCAAAAATGATCATTTCCTTCGGTGCGGTGGAGATTTTATCATCGCGATGAAGCTCACGAGTCACGCGCGATCTGCAGGCTTCAGCTTGACTGTCCAAGATATCTTCCAAACTCCAGTTCTCGAGGATATGGCGGCTCTCATATCCCAAAGATCGCTGCAAGATCTGTCGCCACAGTCGACTGTGTCGTATACTCCCTTCTCTCTTTACCACCTCCATCCCCAGCGCGCTCTGCCTCTACTGCTACCACTTCAGCTGGATCCATGGCCTTCTCCACTGGATCGTGCACGTATGGTATGCAGGCAGCTATACGCTCATGAAGCATCAGTACGTACACATGAACGGCGTCTTGGCACCTCGATACCGGCTGGTGGACCTTCTCTTCCCATACATCGTTGATCCCTTAGTGGGTCACACATGGAATTCATACTACTACCATCACGTCAAGATGCACTATGTTGAGGGCAATGGGCCCCTGGATCTCAATTCGACCATGTGGTACGATCGAGACTCGATCGCCGATTTCGCTCGCTATGTGGGCCGGTTCTTTTTTCTCGTCTCGCTGGAACTGCCGCTGTACTTTCTTCGAAAGGGCCAGTACTCCACTTCGTTGAAGACGGCTTTCTGGGAGTTCAGTAACTATTTGGCCATCGCTCTGCTATATTGCTACGGTCATGCACGGGCCACAATCTGCGTGTTTATTTTACCCCTTATGACACTTCGTGCGGGATTGATGGCAGGTAATTGGGGCCAGCACGCCTTTGTGGATCCCCGTGATCCCTCGTCGGATTTCCGGTCTAGTATAACGTTGATCGATGTTGCTGTGAGTTTTCACCCGATGTAGTGCGTTTCAGATGAACCGCGTGAATGGAACTGACAATTTTCCAGAGTAATCGATTTTGCTTCAACGATGGTTATCACACATCACACCATTTGCATCCCCGGCGCCACTGGAGGGAACATCCGGTGGCGCTTTTGCGGGACCAGAAACGCTATTCGGACGAGCGGGCGCTGGTGTTTCAGAATGTGGATTACCTCATGCTGACTGTAAACTTGTTGCGAAAGAACTATATACACCTGGCCCGATGCATGGTTCCAATTGGCGCCGAACAAAGAGCGATGAGTCTAGAGGAGCGTGCGGACTTGTTACGCAGTCGGACCCGAAGATTCCCCGAGTTGCACTTGGAACGGAAGAGCGCATCTAAGCGGCGGTAAGGCTAGTGGGAGGGTCGGACCGGGGCGGAAAGGAGACTTCGTTGTCCGTGTACAGTGGCTTGTACGGCCGTCAGGTGGCGCACTCATAGCCAGCCGTTCCCTCTAGTGTAAAAAATGAATGGCATTTTTAAGCGATATGAGTAGTGGAAAATTTTTGCTTTGTGGGGATTAAGCGGCGCTAAGAGAAATTGTTCGAAAATGAGTGTTGTCCAAATAGAACTGATATGTAAGCAACCAGGTAGCATCCCCAGGTGGATCCTCTGAAATGCTTAGCCTTCTACCTTGTAGATTACAATACCGGACGGGAAGATTTACCCGAAATACTCAATACATAGAATACCGTATTACTAATATATCTAGTACTGCATTATATACGGAGTACCTGATACTAGATACATGAAACACGGGAAATAGAATACGGAGTACACAACATGACTGGTATACAACACGCAATTCAGGTTACAGGGGTGAGGTATCATGGAGTTAGTTAGGGCTAACTTCTTAGTGCTGACATGCATTAAATTATCCATGGATATAGGCTGCAATTTATTATGTAATTTATTATTTGATAATTAATATAGTGAAGTGTGTATTATTAGATTACTCTACATGCAAACATTGTGGAGCTACCATGCAACAGACAGGCCAGACACAGGTACCGGGAATCCGCAATGGGACTAGCTAAATAATCTCCTGCGAAGTTTTAGAAGATTGGTTGGAGACGGTTGTCGCCTCATAGAGGCCCCGGAACTGACTGGGGGGATCTCGAGCTAGGAGTTCGGCTGGAGGGCCCAGTTCGACAATAGCCCCGTCTGATACCACCGCGACCCGGTCAGCATCCAGGATTGTGGAGATGCAATGGGCAATTGTAATAACAGTGCGGGATGCAAAGTGACGGCGAATAATCTCTTGCATCGCTCGGTCCGTCTCCTGATCCACACTCGCTGTGACCTCGTCCAAAACTACCACCGAACCGGGACAGATCATGGCCCGCGCTAGACACAGCAGTTGTTGCTGCCCAACACTAAACAGGCCCTCTGAGAGTTGGGCATGGATCCCGCCTCGCGAAGCCACTGTGTCCCAGTGATTCACCTCTTTCAGCGCTAGTTCGATCGCCTTGTCATCTGCAGTTGCGCCGAAGGGGTTGACATTCTCGCGAATCGAGCCTGCAATGAGATGAGGGGACTTTGTGACGCAGATTAGCCGCTTATACAGCGTGTCGCGAGCCACAGTTGACACATCCACATCGTCAATGGTAATCCTCCCTTCGGAGGGGCTGAGGAGACGAAAGAGGCTGGTTGCGAGCGATGATTTACCGCTGTAGCACGCAAGATTAGTAGACAATGAGCATGTCAAAGAGACGGCGAGCGAGGAACATTACCTTCCTGTAGCTCCACAGAGGGCGATTTTCTCTCCCGGCGCAATTGACAGGGTGAGATTCCGAATCACTTGGTGAAGGGAGCCTTCATATTGCGCTGTCACATTTTGGAATTCAATCCGGCCCTTCTTAGGCCACCCTGCAGACAGCACAGTGCCCGTTTCATCGGAATTCGACAACGGGGCATCTAGAGTAAATGCCCGAATGCGAGATACCGCACCGATGGAGATTTCCAAATTGGTCCAGTTAGAGAGGAAAGCCTTAATACTGATACTTAATTGCACGATGTTCACAAGCGCGATGCCCGTGAACCCAGCGTCCACCTGTCCCTGGGTGCGCACGCCAATGGCCACCGCTGCTACTACAAGATCCAGCACACGATTTAACCAGCGCTACACACAGTAGAGTAGATAGAAAGGCTTTTGGGAGCGATCAAAGACTTTGCGATTGCGGTGGTCAAAATCCGCGTGCCACTCGAATGCCCGGATAGTGGTCAGGCCGGATATCAGCTCAAGGAATGTGGAAAACAACGGCGCCTTGGCTTCAATATCGAGAAGTCGAAGCTGACGGGCAGTGCGCAAGTAGAATTTCTGAATCATGTAGAATACCGCTAACAGCGCCGGCAGAGCAATGCCGATCCATTTCGAGGTGATTGCAATGATGATCAGGTTAGCTGTACATAGTAATAATTCCACCGTAGTGTTAAAGAGGGCTAGCGGCAGTTCCATATCCGACAATTGGAGATCCTGTGCGAAGCGATTCAGAGTCGTGCCGACATCAGTGGTCGAGAAAAATTGCAACGGTGCTTGAAGGACGGTGGTTAGGAGAGAGGCATGGAATCGCATTGAGGCCCGTGGCAGCATTCGCTCGGTGAGGTGCCTAGGGGTTGGAGTTAGTGTACATGGCTCTGACAGACAGGGGGCAAGGAATGGATATGGGGATCCTCATACCAGACTGCGACAGGTAGTGAGAGAATGGCCATTGCGGAAAGACCACCGTATGCGCCGAGATACGTGCCCATATGGGTGACAGTGTATTGATCACCCCGCTCAAGCCACCATTTGACCATAAATTCTGCAAGGAGGATTGGTCAATGGGATATCAATGTATTGAAGCAAATTGAGCTTACGTGGTAGGGTAAGTCCCACGGCGAAGACAGTGCAGGCAACAAAAAATATCGAGGCGCTGAAAGGGTGAACTGTCTGGATGTAGTAGTTGTAGACAGCTGTGTCACCGGTTCGTCGATCTTCCCCTGTCGGCCCTTCCTCTGCCGATAAAATCCTGGAGATATCCAGGCCATTACTGTTAGATGGTTCAGCACTTTGGTCCTTCTTTGAGGCGCTAAACACCATTTCCTTGGCAATCGCGATAACCTTGCTAGAAGCGCCTTCGTCTGCAATGTGACCTTTTGAGTCCAGAATGATGATTTGGTCCGCATATGCCAGACGTTGTACTGTTTCTGTTGGTTCTTTCTAGATTGTATGAGTTGTTTACCGGTCGTACTCACCAGCATGAGTAGCTATGATGACGGTAGTCCCTGATTCCTTCAGAAGCCCATCGGGCCCGAACAAATTATGAAACAGGTACTCCTCGGTCTTTCCGTCAAGTCCGCTGGAGACATCATCAAGCAATAGAAGGTTTTCCTGAGCATAGACTGCACGTGCAATTGCCTGTGGATGGGTTAGTATATAGCAAGCAATCATGCACTTGTGATTTCCACCTACCAATCGAGCCCTTTGGCCACCACTCAGAGTCATACCGCTGTTCCCGACCCATTCCTGGTCCCCGTGAGGAAATCCGTCGATGTCATCTTGGAGGAGACACATTCCAATCACTTTGTCATACCACGGCTGGTTATACACACTGGTACCCAGAATGTTGCGTCTAATGGTGGCATTGGTGATCCACGGAGTCTGACTGCAGTAGCCTATACGAGGAACGGGCACTTCTAGCCGGCCATCGTGATGCCCGACTTCCCATAGAATGGCTAGCAACAGCGTAGACTTGCCACAGGCAACTGGGCCAACCACAAAGTTGATAGTGGACGGCCGAATCTCGAAGTTCAGATCATTCAGGACCATAGATCTTTCAGAGTCCCAGCCGGCACTGAATCCCTGAGCTCTGAGCATGGTTGGCTGTGCTTTTTCATCTAGGAGGGCGGATGAAAGGGCTGTTGGACTACACAGTCGGCTACTTTCGCCGCAGGTTCCAGTAGGCTTGGATAAATACTCGCCAATGCGAGCCACGGCACCCAAGGTGCTGGCCAACCTTGCAATTGCATCTAAAATGAGGGCCATAGGTGACTGCAGGAGCGCAAATAGGGATAAAGCGGTGTAGGCCTTGTCGTATTTTAGCGTGGGAGAACCATTTCGTTTCGCCAACAGGCTGTACATAGTGAATGCCAGTAGTGGCCCGGAAGAGGTTGTGGTATATGCTGTCGGTCGGTCAGCAGTTTGCGCAGAGAATAATTCACATGTTGCATTTAGTGGGACTCACAAAAGGTGACAATCAGAGTCAACGCTCGCTTGAATGGGGTCGGTCGACTGGGACACCTCCTTTTCCCGCAGACCTCGAAGCTTCTCGGCCATCAACTCCTGTAACCCACCTAATCTTACCTCCTTCATGTTCTTTAGCATTTCTGATGTCGACTGTAATCTGTTCTGGATGGCCTGGAGCCAGCGTTGCTGCCGCTCCCCCATGGTGGTCGCCACCCCAAGTCGAAGGAGAGTACACACTAAGAACCTTTGATATTAGCAAAAAAGAACTTGCTCAGTAGGTCTTTCACATCGACGGCACTTACCGATGAATATGGAGGCAAATGCGACGACTGCTAGACCCAGTTGCCGCTCTAACAACCATAACGCGAGGCCGATGTCAATAGGGCTGGCCCAGACTTCATGAACATATTGAAGACCCGAGCTGATGCGCTCGACATCTACACTCATCAAGGTCAATGCAGTAGAGTCACGTGCGATTCCAATATCCAAGCGCATTGTGTGTCTATAAACCAGTGGCACGAGGCTTCCACGGATCATCGTAATCAAACGCTATGTTTTCTGCTGGCTACCGGCTGTGGTAATTGCCAAACCCAAGTAGATGATCATGGTGGCAACGATCAAGCCATATCCGTAACTCTGGCTAAGAGGCCCATTAGGCTGGGAGACAAAGCTTGCCACACGCGTAAGGAGGAATGGCTGAACGAAGGTAAACCCCGTCAGGCAAAGTCGGGGGAGAATGGCTGCAGCAATGGCCCATCGGTGATGAACCACCAAGAGCATCGTTAAGGCGGAGGAAGACTTGCACTGCACTGTATTAAACGAGAAGAGAAGTAGTCAGTTTGTTGCCCACAGCCGAGCTCACTAGAGGAGATGGGAATTAAGCATACCAGCATCCCATTTTTGCATAAACAGGTCTCCATCCTCTGTATTGTTGACACGTGCATCTATATTGAGAAGTTGATCGGCTTCGAGAACGTCTCGAAATCCCTTTATCAACAGTGGATTCAACCACCAGAACATGCTCCGATTTAATACATTCGCAATCGTTTCTCGTGACAATTTTGTGTCTTTGTCGGCGACAGATTGTCTCTGTTCAACTGATTCCAACAGGAGCTTGATGAGGTCCAATCCAAGGTTGGCGATAAAGACGGCACAGAACGAATGGGTCTGAACAGCTCAGATTTTTCAGGCCCGGATTGCATTGAGTGGTAGCGACAGGCCCAGGAAAAGGAGCAGCAGGGTTGAGGGTCGGGGGGACCGTTAATGCTGTCTGTATGACACACTGATCATGCACAGCGCGGTGACAGCATCAAGACACACCGCTGCAACTGTGATCCGTGTCTTCGGGATCTGTAGCTGTGGGAGTAGCACCAGCACAAATGGCGTAATTTTCACGCAGATCGATAGCACATGGGCGATCTAAACTATTGGAGTCAGTTCTGATCGGTAGGTGGGGTGGTGGAAGAGGCTGGCATACCAGCTTCCCGGGGAACAGTAGCCGCCCCCGAGTCAGTGGAGCGCTGCAACTTCAGCGGTAAAGATGCAGCGGGAGATAGAGCAGAAATATTGCACAAGGCAGAATATTAAAGAATGTGTCTTCGAATAGCAGGGTGAAGTCAAAGCCATTGTGACAGTGAACACCAATGGTGGGACCAAAAACGTTCTGAGCAGCAATATCACACATTGTTGCCTAATTGTTTTCCCCTTCCCTTTCTTTTCTGAAATTCAAGAAAGTGGGAGGGAAGTGGGTTTTAGCTCTGCAGTAGAGTAGGGCCTGGGCCAAGGGAATTAAGAGCCGACATGGTATTTTTTCAAGGTGTCTGGGTATTTTGGGTATTTTGGGGGCGAATTGGGCCGAATTGAACCGAACTGAAATGTACTGGTACGTACCGCCCGTATATAATGTGTATTGACCATACCTGATACGGAATAACCCCATTAAAACCCTGTAACACTCGAACCGCCCTCTTAACCTCCTGTCTCCAGGGCTATTTTTAACTGGCTCATGGGCCCTCTCTACTCATCTCATCATATTTCATCTTTTCCAAGGCAACCATAATCGCAGGGGTGTTTTGAAGTTCTCCAGGCATCAGACATTGATATAAACTAGCTGCCTGGACGCTATCTGCTTTCTTTGAAATGTTTTAAACTGTGTCTTTCTCTTCTATACTTTTGTATCGCTTTTTGTTAGGCATTGTGACCTGATACATTCCTTTCACATAACATTGTTCTCTCTACTATATTCTTTCTTGTAATTATGCGATTTCCAATCTCCGGGTTGTTCTTCGTGGCGATGTCGGCCATCGTGGCCCGGGCATCCCCTGTCCAAACCGCTGTGCCACAGCCCGGAGTGTTCCCGCGAGATGTCAGCCCCACCACTACGGCGACAAACTCGCACACCACTACCACAGCGACTACCACAACAGCCACTGAATTCGAATTGAGCTTGACTCTAAATTTGCCTTCCGACACATGTACACCCACTATTAAGCCCGACAAGTATGGCTGGGTACCGGCCACGGAGTGTGATGCCTTGTACCTCTACTACCCGTCTTTTAAAGCGGCAATTGCTGCCGCCGTAATTTTCGGCATCCTCTTCATGGCACACTTTGTGCAGGCGACTATGTACAAGGCGGGCTTTGCTTGGGTTATCCTCATGGGCGTCTCTTGGGAGACTGTTGCTTACGGGGTCCGCGCCTTCAGCACTCATAATCAGCAGAATGATACTGTTGTGACTGTCGCCCAAATGTTTATCCTTTTGGCTCCGTTATGTAAGATCCAGCATTTCTTACCTGCAACACCCCAATTCGTTGATACTAACTTCGAGTATAGGGGTCAACGCATTCGACTACATGGTTCTAGCAAGAATGATCCATTTCTTCGTCCCCGAGCGTCGCATCGGCATGTTCAAACCTTCTTTACTAGCCAAATCATTTGTCTTGCTCGACTTCGCCTCCTTCATCGTTCAAATGATCGGTGGCTTCATGGCCACTGGTACGGATCAGCAACAAATGAACGGTATCCATATCTACATGGGAGGCATCGGGATCCAGCAGTTCTTCATCGTGTGCTTTTTGGTGCTGGCCGTGCAATTTCAACGATCGATGCTACAGCTGGAGCGGGCCGGCCGACTATTTGGTGAGAAGCAGAAGTGGCGCCGACTGCTCTACGCCCTGTATGGAAGTCTAGTTGCCATTACGGTCCGCATCATCTATCGTTTGATTGAATTTTCCTCCGGGTATGGGGAGTCAAATCCCATCCCATACCATGAATGGTATATGTATGTGTTTGATGGTATTCCCATGGCATTGGCTATTCTCATCTGGAACTTCGCGCCACCCGGTGCCGTGTTGCAGGGCCCAGATGCGAAAATGCCCTCCAGTGGCATCGGCAGGTGGCTCTGCTGCTACGGCTGTGCCTGTTGCTGTCGGAGCTGCCGAAAGGGAGCCAAGGGAAAGAAGAATATGCAACGACTACCCGATAACGACATATATGATGATAACGTGCCACTCCACACCCGAGAACCATCCCCGTACCGCGATTCAAATTACAATACCCGTCGCTGAGTTTGCGTTTTTGCTGTTTTTGCCCGGTCATTTTGTATGCATGTTTGAGAGGACTGCATTCTACATTCATATTTACATTCGTGTTCTTTATCTCCTTTTATTCTTCTTTTGTTCTGCTTCCCCTTCTTCTCTTTCTCTCTATCATACACGCATTTGAAAGACTATATAGACCAAGTGTTCAAAGATCTTGTTTGCATATATCCCAGTGGCTTGGGGATTACCCAGGCCGATTCACTTTTTACTTGACAAATAAATAGATGATAATAAAGAAAATCTATAAAACCTGACCAATAAACATGTCTCTTACAAATCACTGTAGTTTCCTAGAATCGATGAACTAGCATCACCAAAATTCGATGCCAGCGAATCCAATGAACCAAAGAAACCGAGCGCATCCGACCCTGGCTTTCTCAGGTTGTCATAAATATCTTGCTCATCTGCTTCTGCGAATGTTGATGGATACAGACCCACGCATTGCAGGACCTCCTCCGGCGGCGCCGTTCTGCGTCCATCTTTAAACACATATCGAGTCACCGCGACAGCAAGAATGAATTTCTGCGCGTCAGAACCCTCCTTGTTCTGATTCCCCTTTTGCAAGCTTCTCATCACGCTCTTGTGTGTTCCTGCCTTCACGAAGTAGCTCACCAGCACCAGCCACTTTGCATCCCATGACAGTACCCGCGACCAGACCTCGTATCGCTGCAGGGGCTTGATCTCCCGCTTAAAAACACACGATGTTCCACCCAGCGCAATACTGACGGTCTTCTCGCGCTTTTTTGACTTGTCCGCATCTGTTTCGGAGCTTTTGGTGGCTGAATCGGGTATAGGTGCCCAGCGTGGCAGGCGTGGGAAAAGGCTCAAGAGCAACTGCGCTCGGTTGATGTCCAGATCGGAAAAGAAGGTACTGTTTGACTTGTGCATGTTGTAATCACATTTCATAAAGGCATTCTGGTGTGTGGTGACCAAATATGAGAAGAGAAGAGGAATACCTCCAGACTTATCGTCGATGAGAACGCCATTCGCATCGATCTGACGGGGAGACAATCGAGACCCGAGGAATTGTGTGAAAAGGCCTTTCAGAACTCGTAATTGGAAATGAAAAATATCATCGGTTAGCAATGTCGCGAATAAACAAAGGTTATACTTTCGAGAGCGCATTCAATCATTGCACCTACATGCCATACACCTGGAAATGTTTTCAGGTTGATCAACACTGCCCCTGTGATGACTGCGAGGAGCGCATACTGCATATACCCGTCTTCGGCTCTGCCTAGAATGCTTAAAACTGACATGATCTTATCACGTCACTGGGACTGTAACAAATGCAAGATGACCAAAAGCAAAAAGCTTTCACCAAGGGTACATATCGACTTAGGCGCTTTGCCTTTGCTTTTAATACACGGCTATCTCCGGCGCCAGGCAATTTAACTTGCATCCTACAGAGTACTCCATATACTAGTAGCACCTAGTTTTGCGCCATAATGGTGTGGCTAGTATGTAACAAAAGTACTAGTGTATGGGTAAGTTACATCTGCTTGTAATTTATGTATTACACTCAGTGATAAGTTTCACCGCTAATTACAATATCTGAAATGGTATGGTATTGTATGCTGATGTGTATTATCAAATCTATTAGGCCCTGTACTGCGTGTATTACAAAGTACCCAGGTTACATAATATGTGTGGTATGGCGGTATGGTCTTCTAGTAGGAAGTGCTCGGTACTACTGGGATGCATGATATGTATATAATGTTGAGCATGGACGTGGTCATGTAAACCCCCACCGATGATCTTCTATCACATCATATATCATATGGAGGGGAGCAGACCGTCAGAAAATACAACCAAATCCGACAAAGTACGAACTTGAAATCCCTTCACGACTTGGGGTGACTCCCTAGGTTGTATCTGATAACCATCATGCTCTGGAGCCCACTTGACGAGAAATTCCAACAATCTGGTGAGTAGACCCCCCGTATCGAATCTTAAGATTAAAGATCTAATGAATTCAAATTTTGGTAGCAACTCAAGGTCCAGCCCTCGATCCCCCGAGCTACCATGCCAATACCATCACAGCGGCGTACTACCACCACTCTGCTGCTCTTCCACGCGAATTGCTGCAGCCATTGGTCTATAACGCCCTGTCGCGGGTGATAGTGCAAATTCCATCAATGGTGACCATCCTCCCCCACGCGGTGCAAATTATTCAGCTGCGAGATGGCCGAGACGAAGAGGTGGACGTGCTGGTGGAGGAACAACGGAACATGAGGTTTCCGGAACTATACGAGAAGGTGCCATGTTGGCGTCTGGTTATTGCATACACATCTGGGCGAAGTACTGTGTCTGATATGGTAGCTTGCTTTGTGGTAGGTGAGCCCGCCAGTGATCAGTTGTGCGGGATGGACTTCCATCGATCATTCTCGGCTGCATTGTTGCTGGTCAACAAGGCAAAATTATCTAAACAGCCATCGGAATACCCCAGTGCCAAACACTCAAAAAGATATTCTACATCACGGCAGGAAAAGCAAACCAACCACACCCAACGCCACTCTCAATTCAAAAGTGTAACACTTGGAACCACAGACACCGCCCGTCTCCTGGTGGATTGCTTTGCCAATAAGACGAATATCACTTGTGCCATGCAAGCGGTTCTTGCAGCGTCATTATTTTCCAACTTATCTTCGGAATTCACCACGTTGCGTTCTGCGGGTCGGATATCGCCTAGTGGTACCATCGAGCACACAATTGCCATACCTTGCTCCGAATATATTACAACACATAACAGAGCACAGGGATGGCATATGACTTCCATCTGGAACGAGGCTCAGCGCATCCACACAGCCTACAATGCCGAACCAAGTGGAAAGGTGAGAAGCAACAGCCTAATGGGCTTTCTTCACCGCGAGAGAGGTTATACCTTGTGTGATACGAAAGACATTAGTGAGACTAGTGGTGTCAGTGTTGGAGTATCCAGCATGGGAAGCTTTCAGAATTCAAGATCATCGCAGTCTGAAAAGCAGCAGGAATGGCAGACAGGGCGGATGATGTCAAGTAGTGATAGTAATGAGATCAATGCTGCCCTGTCTGTCACATTGGTTGTCGGTGGAGACGGGTGTTTAACGATAGGGTTTTCTTGGTTAGATGGTGACATCGAGGACTTTTGGCTTGACAAGGTTGTCGTCAATATGAGAAGGCTGATTGGAGAGCTTTTGAACACCAACGGCGCCACAAAAACAGAGACCGTTCCTTGGGGAGGTTCTGTGTCTCGGCTTGTCTGTATGGTTAGGGACCTCATGTTGGAGTAAATCCTATGGCACTGACCAAATATTATCTCCTCCCGGCTTGTTCAAAAAACAAATATCAAAATTGAAATCAAAGCATCGATTTACAAAATATATTCGTGAAAAACCTCAAAGTACTTCCAGTGTTCTCCGGAGCTATCTTGGGGCTAACACTAAATTTGCCAGAAGTGAGTACAGCCAAACGATCTTCGTATATAGAATTGTTTGTGTTATTTTCATATTGTTCTCATTGCTAGGACGACACAAGGAAAGAAATTCGTTTTCGGGGTATCCGACGTTAGATTTACTAGCCAAATCGTCAAGCCTACAGCATGACGATGCCAACACCTCCCATCTTCGACTCATCGGGCAAGTTTTTCTCGTTAATCCCACCACCAATAGGCGCAGCGCGGTAGTTATATAGGTAGAAGTGGAGCTGGCCATCACCAGCACCAAACTTGAGATCCTCGAGGAAGAGGGGGTTGTCGTGCGAGGTGAGAGCATTGAAGACGTCGAAACGGGCCTAGAACAAATGAAAAAGACAGGATTAGCATATACAATCAGATGTAACACATTGCAACATACGTTCTTTGCGCAAATCAAGGCATCGTTCATCAAGAGCTGCAAGCGCTCCTTGAAAGCCTTCTTATCGTCGGAGAACGCAGTCTCGGTCGCGTAGTAGTACAAGTATGCGGCATGGACAGCATCATGCTTGGGGTTGTCAATCACGGTAGACTCGAGATTGTAGAACGAGACAAAGTCGGTGATTTTGTGGGTTTCCGGGTCTTCCGCAACGTATGACCAAACAACCTGGCCCTTGCCGGGCTGGTTCTTGTGCACCAGCCAGTGGTCAATTTCTTCCCGTGTAAAGGCCTGGTTCATATCGAAGCGCTGCATGTATCGCTCCAGCAGATCATAGACAGCATCGATGTCCTTAGATTCCATAGGCCGAAGGCCGGGGGTCGCTGTCTCGCTAGGGAGATGATTCTTAGTGACCTGGCGGGCCTTAGTCGAGCCATGAGGCAGAGGTGAGAAGCCAACGTCGTAAAGCTTCAACCAATCCAGAGAGCGATGGTAGTATCGGCAAGAGCTGACGGGTGTGGGAAGGATGATACCGCCAGTGTAGATGGCCTGGTAGATGCCCCTAAGGTAGCAACGGCGGGTAATCTCCTTAATCAGAACAGGAGTCAGGCGCTTGGAGCGGAGCTTCTTGTGGATACACAGGAAGTTGATCTCCGTCACCTTGATGCGCTCGCCGCGTACGCGAAGTTCGGTCGGGACACCGCAGATGGATGCAACCAGCTTGCGCGACTTAGTGGCGCGCACACCAACATGCCATTCCTTCTTCCAACCGGGCGACATCAGAGCCCTATGTGTGTAGTATTAGCGTTCTGATATATGACAATAGTCTACGAGTCAATCGTACCAATGAAGGAACGATTCCGAGTAGTTGAAACGGAACATGGCGTTATCGTCCTCAACGTAGTGCTTGTTGAGAAGCTCGTAGAGCTCTTTCAGCTCCTCCTCGTTTGTCAGGTCAAGAGTACACCACTCGAATCCTTCAATGAGCGCATCGGGGGTCTTGGAAACCTTCTCTGGGTCGATAATCTTGATCGGTCCCTGAGCGATCTGCTTCTTTCCAGCCTCTTCAAACGCAGGCACTGGCTGTGTCTGCCAGAACTTGTATGAGGCCATATCCTTCTGGTTCTTACCTCCCACGGCCAATCCAGTCAGCATCTGCGAGAGGTCCATGTTGTGGAGTAGGGCCGCGGCCTGGTCCTTGTCCATCGCAGCTAACTCGTTCTTCAGGGCCGGGTTTTGTTCGAGGAGTAATGAAGCGAACTTCGCGGGAAGCTTCTTTCCTGCGTCTAGAACTTGAATGTCAACAGCTGCGCATCTGCGGGATAGGGTCCTTGGTGCCCCGTGTGGGTGGACAGAGCGGCCTACCATTACCTGAGTCGGATGGAGCACCAGACTCATTTTCATTGCGCTTGGGAGCCTTGCCCTTTTTATCGCTGGAATCCGACATGTTGTGTTGTTGGGGTGGTTGTGGAAGAAGGAATTGGATTGGGCCCCACGTTTTAAACACGCGCGGATCTCTGGTGGGGGTTCTGCGGATGACTTAATAATATTACGATGTTGGGATGCGCTCAACACAACTCGCGATGTACACTATTTAAGGGGAAAGAGTTATAGACTAGTATTTACTTTATGGACACGTTTCACCTTACACGGAGTCCGTTTTATGTTGCTCGGAGTCCATAGTGTGCTCCACTGTGAAGAGTGAAGATCCCCGCTCAACGATGAACTCTTAGTGGCCTACATTAAAAACCTCGGCATTCACATATGCAAAGTTCATGCAGATAAAGCACGTAGAGGGTTTCAAATATGGTATCATTTAAATGCATTGGAAATTGAGAAAACTATATTGAGAATCGAAGAATTGTTGAAATCCAAGCAAAAACACCTCTATGTCCATTATATGCTAATCGAAAAGCATATCTCAAGTGTTGATACAAGAATGCAAGATTCACTGGAGCTCCGGGCTACCAATCATTGGGGAATCACACATCGGTAGGGGGCTTTGTCTCGACTACGTCGAGGAATCCTCCGACTAAATGGATACTGCCGGTGACAAAGGTCATGACCGGAGCTTCGTCCTTCTGCAGGACCTTGCGTTCTTGACCCGCAACTTCCCGCGCAAAATCAACAGCCTCCTCAATCGTACCGAAAACATGTGTCTGGGCGTGAGGGTCAATAGAATTCCACTCCACCGCAAGAGATTTTTGGACTCGAAGAAGTTCGAGGTCGTCCGAGTTGGTGTTCATACTGACCAAGTCGGGTCGGAAGCCCGCCTGTTTGTAGGTGACGTTCGTGCAGAATATGGCGTGAGTGAATGGGCTACCGTTGCCAAGGGCAGAGGCGAGGGTCTCATGGAGAGCACGAGCAAGAGCTGTGCTGTTGCGAGTCTGTTGATTGAAAATCAAAATTCGTGTTTTCTTGGAGGCTAGATCTTCGGACGATGAATCGGCTTTAATCCGCGACGCAAACCACTGGCCAGCCAGCCGGATGCTCTCCAAAGTATGACCGCCATCGATATACCAGGAGACATTCTTCTCAAATCGGGTCTCACACCTGCCACCTAGGCGAGTTTCCTCGAGCCCGGTCTTGAACTTCGCTGGCAATGGCCCTTCCTTGATATTGTCTGGAACATCGATACCAACCTGCCGCAAGAAGTCCGCGGCAGCTGCCACCGCCACTGAGGCGTTGGTATACTGGAAGTCTCCAGCCAACCCAAGGGTGATCTTGCTGCTCTCAGGACGAAGCTCAGAATGGAGAGGCACGATTTCCAGCTTAGTGCCAGCCTCCTCGGCACGTTTAGCCAATACCTGTTCTGCGCCCAGAGGTTGGGGTGCCGCGAACCCATTTACGCCACGCTTGAGAATGCCACCCTTGTGCCACGCGATTTCCTCAATTGTATGTCCAAGTAGATCAACGTGATCAATGCCAAGACTGCTGATCGCTGTCACCTTGGGCTGTGGGATCACGTTGGTACAGTCATATTGGCCACCGATTCCACATTCGATCACCGCAGCGTCCACGCCCTCGCTCAGGTAGGTATGGAATGCCATCACGGTCAAGTATCGGAAATATTGTGGTTTCGTCCCAGGCCCGGTGGGATCTTGGCCGGCCAGTTTAGCGGACTGCTCAAGACGGTCCCATACTTCGAAGAAATAGCGCGCAAACTGTTCTTCGGACAACGGCGCATTGTTGATCTTTATGCGCTCACGTGCGAACCGGAGGTGCGGGGATGTGTAGAGACCGATCTTAAGGTTGGATCCTGGTTGATCCGAATCCTTTCGGGGGTATTGTGAGAGGATCGTGGAGATGAATGCGGAGGTTGAGCCCTTGCCTTTTGTGCCGGCGACATGAATTGCGTTCAGCCTATTTAGGTCGGAAGGCTAGACGACGTAAAGTTCTCACATTAGCTTCACTCATAAGGCATGGAAATCCCTCCATCAGCTCAGCGCACCTTATATCCAATGCGCTGCAACCAATCCACTGTCTCCGGAAGGGATAGCTCGTTGATCTCCTTCCGTGTTTTGGACTTCTTAAATGCCTCCACGATCGCATAGTTGGTTTGCAATGAGTTGAGAGAAGCAATCGCAGCCTATCCATTCAAAGTCAGCGTATGCTTTATTATGTCGGAATTAATCCCTGTCACAAAGCTACGAGCGGCATACCTCATATGTTCGAGTCATGGTGGGCGAACGAGAACGAGTTGAAACTCGCCGTGCGCAAAACTGCCAGCGAATAGATGTCCAGAGCCTTCTCATTAACAACCGAAGCCCGTGCCTTGAGTCCTCAAATGAGCAGGGGTGATTAAAGAAACCCCGATAGCTCTCACGATTTATGATTCTCTGGTTGATCCCACCCGCTCTCCTCGGGAAACCGATTTGGCACTGATCGGGAAGATCACGTGCTTGATAACAGACTACACAAAACCAGACCGAAGTCAAGTTATCTATGCACAGTTGATTTTGATTCAAAAAGGGCGGATAAATTCATTCTGAGGTAGATTTGTATTGTATGAGCTCACATATCGACAGTTCCTAGCGTTTTGTATGTGAAGCAACCAGCAAGAAATGATTAGTAAATTGTCAAAATGAACCACACTCTCACTGCTATGACACCTTTTATATGGCTTTATAAAGATGCAGGAAAAGAAGCCAAGAGAGGCAAAGAGTGGTCATACAACTGCCGAAGCGAGCAAGAAACGCCTCCAGGCTTGGTGCAACAAAAGCAAAGAACTGGAAGACACGCAATGGCGATCGCTAACAATGGCAGTATTTATCACGGCTTTTGATAGGCGCTTACTGCATGTCTTGCATTTTTCAAATCCGGATAGAAATTGAAAGAAGTAAAGAACTCGTAACTTAAAACCTGGAATTTTACGTGACTGGCTTCAATCATCCGATAGTGGGTCAACACCATTGGAGGTTCTATAGATGACCAAAAGAGGTTATAATATAGTATCATCTGGAACCATATTTATGTACTATTCCACTTTTATAAAAGTAGGAATCAAATTAAACCATTCACATCATCATAAAATATCAATATGAGCGAAATTGAACTCATTGGATTTGAGGGCCGGCCTGTTCGCAGTATGTATATCGCACACTCTTCAATCGGAATTTGATATTTTATCACCAGCCGCTAAATACCCAGCTTCTTGATAGTCAACACTGGCCTTTTTATAAACAATGAGTTTCAGCTAGCAACGGGAGGATCACAGCTCGAAGTTGAGAATCCCACCACAGGCAGTCTCCTTGCATCCGTGTCAGCCGCACAACGAGAAGATGTCGATGCCGCCGTGAGTGCAGCCAAGGCAGCCTTTCAGGGTCCGTGGGCGACCCTGACTCCTGCCCGCAGGGGCCAGTTGCTGAACCGGCTCGCCGACCTGATCGAGCGGGATGCGGATGACCTTGCCAGCCTCGAGGCTCTGGACGCTGGTGTCTTGTTCGGGGAGTCCAAAGGCCTCCATATCCCCCAGGCTACAGAGACACTCAGGTACTTTGCCGGATGGGCAGACAAGATCGCCGGCCAGTTGTTGAGTATCCCACAAGGATATGCGTACACTCGGAGAGAGCCGCTCGGGGTGTGCGCTGCCGTTGTGCCTTGGAACGCGCCACTGTAGGTTTTCCTCGTATGCCCGATATGAATATCGATGCTGATATCAGAAATACAGAATGATTACTATCTGGAAGCTGGCTCCCGCCATCGCAGCAGGTAACGCATTGATTATCAAGACACCAGAGCTCGCACCTCTGTATGCGCAGAAACTTGCTAGTCTCGTAAAAGAAGCAGGATTCCCACCCAGCGTCATTGCTATCCTTTGCGGACACGGCGCAGTTGCCGGTCAGGCGCTGGCCGAGCACCCCGGGGTCAAGAAGATTGCATTCACGGGAAGCGCCCCCGTCGGCAGGGGGATATTGCGAGCTGCAGCTGGTTCGAATCTCAAGAAGGTGACCTTGGAACTAGGCGGCAAGAGCCCCTCGATCGTGTTCTCTGATGCTGAGCTGGGCAATGCCTTATTCTGGACCACTTTGGGATTCACGGCCAACAATGGACAGGTTTGCGCAGCTGGGTCGCGCATCTACGTCCATGAAAATATCTACGATAAGTTCCTCCTCGCCTTCGCCGAGAAGTTGGCCCACACCACCCCCGGAGACCCTCTGTCAGGACAAACAACCAAAGGTCCCGTTATCAGCCAAAGGCAGAGGGAAAAGATTACCGAATACATCCGCCATGCAAAGGAATCTGGTATCCGCTTATTGGCTGGAGGAGATGAGATTCCCGGCAAGGGCAACTTTGTTCCCAATGCTGCGTTCGCCGATGTCCCTGATGATGCGCGCATCATGCAAGAGGAGATATTTGGTCCTGTAGCTGTAAGTGTTCAAGAAAGCTCGCGATTTGCCACATTTGCTGACGTTGGATTCTAGTCCATTGCAAAGTTTCATACCGAAGCCGAAGTCATTGAGAAGGCTAATGCCACTGAATTCGGACTTAGTGCTGCCGTGTTCACGAACGACGTTAACCGGGCACAGCGTGTTTCTGAAGCTCTGGAATGTGGCCAGGTCACAATTAACTGTTGGGGGATGTTGCATGCCAATACTCCATTTGGGGGAGTTAAGCAATCTGGATTCGGCCGTGATATGGGCGAAGAGGCATTGGAAGCGTGGATGTCGACGAAAACTGTCAAGTACTTCACTCTACCAACAGCTGATGACAAGTAGTTGTTAGTAGAAGCAAAATATTAGAACTTTTCATCATTCAATTACATTATAGAGAACTCTAGTCCCCTATTTTTGAGCGGTTGGGTTATACTTCTTTGTAAAGACCACGAAACCTCTACCTATATCGCCACCGAAGACGCTTATCAAGGTTACACTATATATTAAAAGTCGGGTACCTGTTGTATATTCAAAATGCGTTGCGTGGAAATAGACGTCCTCAAATGGTGTTTTCTGCATTTTGCGAGTACTTCTTTTCATCTTTCTAACTTCCTTCCACCTACAACGATAACGAGATACACTGAGAGCGATCTCTAAAACAAGCTTCGATCTCATACTCAGATACATGATGATGCATATATGATGTCCCCCTCAAGAGGCAATCTACGCTTAATTCTAGTTTTACAGACACAGAACATCAAAATTAATACACGTAAAGGGTGGGGATATCCAAAGTTATATATTCATGAAGTTTGTATGTCTATCTCACTAATCATGTCCAAGGAACTATCATGAACTTTTGTGAATATAGCTCGTAAAGTTATCAATCTCCAGGGATTGCTATGCGACCTCGCCTTACTACAATTTAGGACGAGCTCCAACTTTGTAGGCCACAGCGTATCGGGGGGTAGAGAAGATGATGCTGCTTCCACGGTGAATAAAGAAGGTGTCTCCCGGGAACAGCTTAGCAGTGTTTCCCTTCTCATCCTCGAGGTGCAGCTCGCCTAGAAATCGAATGGGTAACTTATCAGCATGCTTTGTGCTTGGGGATGGTAGTGTGTATCAATTGATGGGATTGTCTTACCTTTCAGCACAACTCCTGTCTCATCGTAGTCGTATAGGGGAGCCGGCTCGGGATTGTCAATTTGCTCGAGGAGGAACATAGATCCAGCCAAGAGGTTCGGGGCGTCTTGTGACGCGGAGGAGAAAACATCGCCTATCGCGAATGGTTGACTTTAGTAAATACGCTTTTTGGGGGGTGTAGACGGGCATTAAATCATTGATGCTCTTACCAAAGTAAACGTTAGGAGGACCCGGCTCCAACTTGGGAACACGGTGAAACTTGCCCTCGTCTAGCCACTCAAAAACCATGATGAGAAGATTGGAGGGGTATTGTGGCGGAGAAATATTATTCAATTGAAATAATGTGAAGACCCAAAGACGTATAGGTATGAATATCTCAGCAGCATTAGAGCCAGCCGATGGTTTTATATTGCGCTTCTAGATAGTCAACGGAGGAAATGTCTAGTAGTTCAGTGTAACCAATGGTTTATTGATCCTCGACTCAGCGACTTGACGCCATTTCATGCCATTCCACTTCATTCCACTCCATTTACTCAAGGCTGTGGGGTCACAAGATACTAGCTTTAATGGCATCGTAAAAATATATAATGGGATACCAATGTGATAAATTGACAATTCACGTTCAAAAATTGGCTTATCTAGCATTCATAAATGTACATACCTCGGGAGATTGCCGAGGTCACGAATGAGAGATTGGTTATCTCACGGTGATCTTCAGATAAACGGCGATAGATTATTAGGGCAGACAGAAGAGGATAGCATTGGGCTTTCTTCTTTACGAATCTCATCAAATTCATTTATATCCCCAGGCAACCGCATTCCGGATGTTTATCATTCCCTTATTCTACTTGAGTGACGCATACTATGTATGCATAGATCTCCATAACTCATTGTTGTGCACATTCTGCACATCCTGCATCCCCTATCTCTGTCTAACCTATTAAGACTTCAATCTAACTGCTAAGCCCGAGACTAACACAATCGTATATTAATCCGGTCCAATCCATGCGATGCTAGTTCCACTTCCCCAGGGTTCCCCGCATACATGCTATCTTTTTAGCGCAAATCCTCACTCCTGGATATTCTCTTGATTGGACGGGGGACGCATGTGGCCTCGAAGCTTCTGCGATAGCCACCGACTTAAACCTTGAATTCACACTAATGATCTCCATTGATAACGTCTTGATTACTAGCCCCATAGTGCATTATGGATATCTCATCCTTCGATTTGCTCTTTTATGCGAAGGGTATCCCTCCCACCATTGACTCTTCCACCTCAATCTTCAAGTACACACTTTGTTGCTTCTTTTACTTTGTATCCGACAAGACTATACAATTCTATAGTCCACAATGAACGAGACCACTCTGAAAGTGGAGAGGCCGCAAAGCGATGATGAGGCCCGCCTAGCAGCTCTAAGCAAGGAGCAGGTGATGGGCCGGCACTTCAACGTCTGGTCGCTGATCTTCCTCGCCTTCTGCACAAGTGTCACCTGGGAAGCGCTCACCTCGACCATGGCCCAATCCCTTCGGGCGGGTGGCAGTTCCAGCCTAGTGTGGGGGTTCGCCGCCGCGGCTATCGGGGCCATGGCCATCGCCCTCTCGCTCGCTGAGTTCTCCAGCATGGTTCCGACAGCCGGCGGGCAATACCACTACGTGGCCGCCCTGTCTCCACTCAAATACACGCGTCTGTTTTCGTGGATCGCCGGCTGGGCTACCATCTGGAGCTGGCTTCTGTCAGCGCTGACGGGTATCTTCTCCAACGCCATGCAGCTGCAAGCGTACATCATCCTGTTTGCTCCAACCTACTCGTATCAGCGATGGCACACAAGCTTGATTGTCATCGCTATGACCACTTGCTTTTTCGGTATTAATATTCTCGGTACCCGCTGGCTGCATCGATTAACCTTTCTGGGTATTGTGCTGCATGTTGCCGGATACTTCACTATCATCATTTATCTGTTGGTGAAGGTGCACCCCAAGAATACGGCCAGTTATGTCTTCGCCGACCTGACTAATATGAGCGGCTGGAAAAGCGATGGAGTCTCGTGGTCAGTGGGTCTGATGAGCTCCGCAGTGGCTTTCATTAACTGGGACTCGGCTACCCATATGGCGGAGGAGATGCAGAATGCGTCGAGGGATCTTCCCCGAGTCCGTAAGTTCAAGCCATCGTGATATTTATGCTATCTGTGACTAACTCTCTTCGCCAGTTTATGGCTGCGTCGCTCTTTCCGGTATCCTCACCTTCCCTTGGGTAATCGCTCTAGCCTTCTGCATCACAGACGTCCAGGGCTTGATAAATGGGCCAGTGGGAAGAATCTGCCCGTTAGTGCAGCTCGTGTACAACGTTTCCGGCGGAAGCCAAACAATGACTATCGGAATCACCTGGTTCTTCCTCTTCCTGGGTTTCTTCATCGGCGGTCCAGGGTGCATGGCGGCATCCTCTCGCGTCATCTGGTCGTTCTCGCGAGAAGGGGGTCTCCCCGAATGCTTTTCCCGAGTCCACGGCCGCCTTGAGGTCCCCGTCAACGCATTGCTGCTATCATGGGTAGGGATATCTGCCCTGGCGCTGATTTACATCGGCAACGAGACCGCCTTTTACGGAATCGCTTCCGGTGTGACGGTGGTAATGGTTTTCTCGTACGCATTGCCCATCTTCCTCCGGATTATTTACGGCTTTGAGCACACGAATTTGCCGCCCGGTCCTTTCACTCTCGGTGTCTGGAGCTTGCCCATTAACGTCTTTGCCGCGTGCTGGTGTATTTACCTCATCATCTTCCTGTGCTTCCCCACCATCGTGCCTGTCACGGCACAAAATATGAACTACGCGCCTCTTATCTTTGGAGCTAGTATGTTGGTTGCTGCTGGGACATGGTGGGTGTATGGTAGTCGGCTTTATCTTGGGGTTCTGTCTGAGGAAGTTAGCTCTATCCATCAGCAGGAGACGATTGTGGTTCAGCAGATTGAAGATGAGAAGAAAAGGGGCGATATCTCTTCGGATATATAGGACTATTTGCTATTCATTCAACTGATATTTTGGCAATAATAGACACCTTGTTCAAGTGTATCGCGTAGCTCAATCATTTAGAAGAGAAAAGACTTCAGGATGTCAAAGACTATCACCGGATATCTGATGGTAGACACCTCCAAACCCAACATTCTTAGTATAAAAAATCAAACAATGACTATTCCCACTCGAAACAATCGTGTAATTTCAAGCTGGCGGATAATTAGGCTTTTAAGCTTACTCGCAAATTGAAATAGGAGGATTAATGCGACGCAGCTGTGGCCAGTCAACAGAGCCGAATCAGACACCAAAAGCAAAAGATAGGGTTTCTTATCCCGGACATCATAAGTTTATTCACAACTTTAGAAACAGTATACAATCGAACATTGATCCGGTCTATCATTTAGGTAATGCACTGGCAAATAGAATGGAAGGGCGAGAATATGCGGTCGGCGTATTACCCCGCTAGCAACAACGGAGATAAAAAGCGACACACGGAATATCTCCTGATTGGACCATCGACGCTGATTTCCATCAGATAATGTATCCAAAACGGGAATGATGTAGGGTGGAGTACATCGATGAATTCATATAGAATGGATTTCGTTGATCAATTCAAGTGTATCAAAATCCATTTTCGAAATCCCTCAAATCTTCGAATCTGTTAAGCGCCCATCACCACGCAAACATGGTCAAATCAACCAGCAAAGACCTCCGCGTCGTCATCGTGGGCGGCGGCTTTGCCGGTCTAACTGCAGCCATTGAGTGCAAGCTACGCGGCATGCACCCGATCCTAGTTGAGGCCTATTCAGGCGCCAGCTCGCACGGCGATCTACTCGACTTTGTGCGCAACGCCGGCCGGGTATTCGAATCCTGGGATAACGGTAATGTCGGCCGCAGGCTCATGGCGGCGGGAGTCAATGCTGCCAAGTACCTTGAGATCTACAACGCCCAGAACGTGCTTCTGCGGAAGGATCCATGGCCGCAGGCGGAGGACAAGGACTGCGTCTATGCCGGCCACCGCGGAGAGATGCATAGGATCATCTATGAGTACGCTATTGAAGTTGGTGTGGATATGCAGTTCAGCAAGCGTGTCGAACGGTATCTCGACTCGGACACTGAGAGAGGTGTCTTGATAGAGGGAGGTGAGAAGATCCTCGGTGATGTCGTCTTAGCCTGTGATGGTCCCAAATCCTTGGCTCGCACTCAGCTTCTCCAGCTTCCTGAGTCCACAGTTAATAGTGGATATGCTATCTTCAGGGCATTCTTCAATATTACTGATGAGATGCGCCAGCTTCCTGAGTTTTCTGAGATGATCAAGCCGGGCGAGGACAGCGTTCGGTTCTGGGTTGGTCGGGATATGCATGGATTTATCTACACGTGGAAGAACGGAAGGTACACATTCGTTCCCTAACTACGTTATTAGATCTCATTCTGACGAAACCTTTTTCTTTTTTTTCTAGGGACTGTGCGTGGGTTCTGACACATCTCGACGATGCGAATATTGCCGAAACATGGTCCTTCCCTGGAAAGAAGGAGGACGTTTCCAAATATCTCAAAGATGCTGGATTCCCTGAGATATGGCACCAAGTCCTCGGGGTCACACCGGATGACCGGATCATCGATTATAAACTAGTCTGGCGGGACGCCATCCCGACGTGGCTATCGAGTTCGAAGAAATGCGCGGTCATGGGGGATGCAGCGCATTGTCATCTTCCAACTTCTGCTCAGGGAGCCTGTCAAGCAGTCGAGGATGCCGTTACAGCCGCCATCTGTCTGCAAAAGTGCAACGGTGATGTAGCGGCGGGCCTGCAAGTGTTTGAGCGCATACGATTCAACCGGTCGCACGTAATTCACCAAGCATCGATCTTGACGCGCAATATTTATCATAAAAACGACTGGACACCTGACCTGGTGCGCGAATATCCTGATTCTTTGGTCCTTCCTTTTTACCCTTGGGTTACCGATTTCGATGTCTTCGCCAATGCGGAGAAGCACTTCGATCATTTGCTAGAAGATGTCAAAAGCGGGAAGCCTGGTACTATCGAACAGCTGGCGCTGCCTGCTGGAGGAAATTATGATGCAATGTTGCTAGAGAAGAGGATCCCAGAGGAAAAGTTGGATGATCTAGCACCTTCTAATGTGGTACGAGTTCAGTCGTGAACTATTGGTGATATCTGAAGACATTGTCGGCAACTAGTATTTAGAAATGGACAACACATAGAAACCATCACTTTCTAGATCATATTGCAAATACTACGTATATCATTTCATATTATAATTACTAACAAACTGTACGTCAGTAACCTAGTCGATTCCAATGCCCCCGATAAACTTTACCGCCGTCGAGTATTATTACCATTCCAAAGAGGACACAAGGGGAGTTGATGAAAAAGACAAGGCATTCTGATCCCAGAGCTAAGTTTAAGCTGAAATCTACAATTCATGGGAACCACACTTTGTTTTGAATAATCTATTCGCGATTTTGAAGGGGTGATGTCAAATTGAGAACGCAAAATATATCACCACTTGACAAACAAAATATATATGGAACACAAAGTAACAATAATAAAATGCCTCTAGCAATTATGCTTTATATTGAAATTATAAAACAGAATACATTCTATGAATGCTTCCACTCTAAAGTCGTCTTTTAGCCAATTTCACCATCAATCCTTTCTGAGGCGTAAACCAGCGACACTTGAATGACAGCTTCGCATTCGGATCCACCAATGCAATATCATACTGCATTAGCAGCGACGCAACCAACTTCGTAATTTCCATCAAGCTAATATGTTTCCCAAGACAGGTATGCGAGCCAGCACTAAACGCAAATATCGACCTCTTCCTTTGCGCCAGCAAGTCCACGTCCGTAGACAACCAACGCTCTGGCTGGAACTTCTGAGGGTCAGGGAATAGCTCGGGGTCATAATGCAGCACCCAAGGACTGATCCCTACTTCCGTGCCCGCTGGCATAAACTTCCCACACACAGTAGCACCCCCCAGCGGCACGGTTCGGCCGTACATGATACCGGTAGGTGGGTGGATGCGCAGAGCCTCTTTGATGACTGCATCTAGATATGGGAGGGTGCTGGCGGCGGTGTATGTGATTGGAAGGGTCAATCTGGCCTCGCGAATCTCACGACATAGGGTGTCGTAAATTTCGGGGTGTTTTACCACGTTGAACATAACCGTCCGCATGGCAATCGCAGTGGTGTCTGCTCCTGCGGTAATATTTCCAAATGCATGGGTGTTTAGTTCTCGATCCGTGATGGAGTCTGGGTGGGCTACTTGGTGTTCCAAAAGTCGTTGCACAAATGAGCAAGGACCGGTCACTAACTGCGCTGCCATCTTCTCGCGGAATTTCACGACCTGCTTTTGTGCCAGGTCTAAAGTAGCCCCGTCCGGTGCACTGCTTCCAAGTACTAGTTTGGAAACGAAGCTATTGCCAAGCAAGAATTTGTGAACCCATGGGAATTGACCAACCTAATGGATGTGTTAGCAAATGCATTTATAAAATGTCAAGGTGATAAGCTTGGGTCTTCTTTACAATTGACACATAGTCTCCAGCAATGTATTCAAGCATTGGCATCATTCCAATTGGATCTCCCTTTTCCATGAATTGAAGGTCCTCGCCGAAAGTAACAGCGAAGATGACGTCGGTTGCATAATATCGCAACCACTTTCCCAAATCGCACGTCCGAGTCGGAGTCTCAACTACCTCATCGAGGATTTTGAAGAAACGATCTGTCACTGCATCAACGAGGGGCTCAAGTTGCAACATTGAACCCATAGAGTATGCATTATAGGCGTTTTTCTTCATGCGGGTATGAAGTGCCTTGTCCGTCAAGACCAATGGATCTGGAAGTAACCCTTCTTCGTCATAAACCATGAAAGGAGTATAAAACGCTGACAAAATGTTCAATTAGATCTTGAAACAACTTATTATATCCGTAAATCGATTGCTTACCTTCTTGAACTTATCGGACGCGTTATAAATAACGTTGATTGCCGCCGGATCTCCCACTGAGACAAGGTCTGGGCCTGTCCGCACAACGTGACCATATTTGCGATGAAGGTTTAGTTCCCACTCATGAGGTCGCCCTATCAGTACGGCAAAAAACCGGGGGAAGCGGGTCCATGATGCGAAGAACGGGCCGGGGATATGTCTCAGTGGTGTTAGATACCTCTGAGACAAAGCCCATGATACCAGTATGCCGAAGACCACAATTGGCCAATGTTGGCCGGCAAATCCCACCAACGAGGGGGTTTCTTTGGAGATGAACATCGTTTCCAGTAGAAAATTAAGAACGCACAAAGACAAGGCCTCGTAGCAGTGCTTTAGAATGTTTCTAGAATCTATTTAGTAGGATACGGCACTGCATCCCGGTAGGTATATTCTTCCAATCAAAGTGACAGGATTTCCATTTGTGGGGTTCTATAGAAGTCCCTGCAGCAAACTGCCGGAGATGATGCGGGGTATAATCCCTGGCAAAAAGAAGGAAAATCTTCTTATTGGACACGGAAAAAGTCAACCCAGACGTTGCGTACCGGCATATCTTCAGGGCCAATATGTGGAATCTGCTCCGGTACAGGATTTATCTTTGACTGGCCAGCCTCTTTACTCCGGGGACAATGGTCCGCCCTCGGTTAGCGAGCCTGATATAGCTGTATGTCACTGGTCTCGATATATATCAATGAGGCGATAATGTCTGGATAAAGCAAGGAAGGATAATCAAAAATAGAAAGTCTCAGAGACGTTATACTGTAAAATAATAGAGTTATATCGAGGTAAATGACGTTATACCCGGGGGTAGCGACTCGGCAATCTGAGGGTATCATTCTATTCAATTGAGACAATATGGTTGAGGTTCAATGGGAATTTGTTATCATAGCATTCCATTACTTGAAAAAGGCTGGCTTGCAGTAAACATATTCACTTCCAGTAGGAGCGCAAGGAATAATCCAGCAGCATAACTTCCACAAAAGCTTCATAGTTGTAACTGGTAGCAAAGCACAAGGCAAATTCGCGCCCATGAAGGCGAAACTACTGACGGCAACCCCTCCCCAATGGCAGCAATTCAGAGACCTCATTCACGCGCTATTGGAAGTGCAAATTGCACCATTTTCACGGCAAGTAAAGTGGATTTTTCCGATGAAAGTGGGCCAACGTCTATAACAGATCACTTTGCTAGTCTTGAGCAAGGGAAAATTTCCTCGACAAGAGCCAAAATGTGTGTGGACATCAAGTTTCAGATACGAGACACATTGGAGATAATTCTCCGTAGTCCAAAAACCACATCCCAGAGTTTAGACTCTGACTGACTGCAGCTCCTAGGCAGTCATGGCTAGGTCCCAGGCGCAGTGTGTTGTCCACACCGTCCCTAACAGCATCCGCGTCTTCGCACTGCTCCTTTCCCTAACAATCGATCAGGCAGCGTGCGGCAGGTAACTTTCATTCTCCTAGCCTAGGAGTTCAACTTTGTCGACTGCAACCAGGGCGAGAATATACTACCACCCGTCTAGGAAAGGCATTTCCACACAGTGGTGACCACGGGTTGGGCTGGAAGGGGCTCAGACCTCAACCCTTTGTGTGCATATAGCGATGCCCGAGCATATAATATAGCCTTTTTTGGGAAACCCAGCACACTGTTTCAGGGTCGTGCCGTTGTAAGTCAAGACGCGCGGGCGAAGATGAAATCAAAGACATGCTAGCAAGCAAATCCAGTCCCACATCGACATTTCCACTCCATAGCGGAACACGATGTTCCCGTGCTAGCTTCAAAATCCAACGATTAAAAGATTCACTAGACCAAGATTTGCGACTGTCCAATTCGTTGCATAGTATCCTGCCATCTCTCCGGCATTGCGTGTCCGCTAGTAACCAGGTCTCGACGAGCCCAGACCTCATCGAGAATCTTCTGACCATTCTTTGTGTTGTGGATGCCCAGCAGGTGTAGACCATCCAGTCTAGACTGGACATAATCTCTCTCGTGAATGCCATCCATCTCAGCCCCGATGACAACCAGGCACCAACCGAGGTTAGCGCCGGGGCCGAGCGCGTCAGGGACCATTGTCAATAGCTCCTGCGCGGTGTCGAGGGATGTCTGCATCTCCTCCGTTAGGGGCTCCTCCGGTCCGTGGAGAATTCGGTGCACATATATGTGCGAGGAGTGTCGGAATATCTCTGCTGTTGCGACCATCCTCCGGCGGAGCTCCTCTTGCCCCATCCCCACGGTCGCGAACGGCTGCGCAGTACTCCGGCAAGAGAAGTTTACTAGAGGGCTTGACTCGAGGACTATGGCTGTCGACCGGATTTGGGCTTGTAGAGCTTCCACTTGGTTCTGTAATTCATCCATGGTTGTCTGGTTTTCCTTAGAGGCTGCGTAGAGTCGGGAAGCAGCCCACTGAAATACAAACATGGTCAGCTTGTCTCTTTTATAGTCGACAGACCCCGGGAGAACATTCATAATGGATGGGAGAGAAAAGCATAGCTATGTGGACTGACTAACCATAAGCTTCGGTAGCTTGGCTGAACAGCCAAAGAAAGCATCAACGAATTCCCCCTGACCCGCCGTTTCTGTGGTTATATCAAGCCAGGATTCTAGTTCTGGCATCGCTGGTTCGCCGAGATTAAGGGCAGTCTGGGTGTCAATCAAACAAACCCACGTTTTCAGAAATGGTTCGATGTCGGAGCAGTCGCCCCGAGATCGGATCCAGTCACGGATTGCATCGTAGTGTCCTTTCCACCGACTCGAGCCCGAAAAAACCTAGTAACCAAGCGATTTAGTAAAATGCGGAATGATCGGGGTAATGTTCCAAAAATGAAACGATATAAACATACCTCGAAAGAGACTAGTAGCAACATCGAGGTTAAAGTAACGGGATCATGGATACTGTTCGGACACAGAAACCTCTCTCGTAGAGCTTTGGAGGCAGCACGGAGGTACTTGCGAGATACTGTATCGGGCTTGCGCTGCCAGCGGCTGTGGTGCGAGGCGGCAACTGCGAGGGCTGCGTTTAACACCGCAGGCTCTTTCACGGCCATAGGCAGCAGGGAGCGATATCCATTTCCATTGTAATCGATGGCGAGGGCTATCCTAGCGATATTCTCTAATTGTGGAAGTATAGATGAGCAAGCGAGCACAGGATTGGCGGATGGGGGGGATAAGTCATAGCTTAGCTTGCGTAGAAGACGTACGGAGGTAATGTTGCATGAAGAAGCTGTCCTCCGCCGGCAGCGCCAGAGCTGATATAGCCCCGGGAAGGAGCACTTCTGGCGATTCCGGGGTCGACGATGCTCTGCTTAAGCGTCTCCTAGCCGTCTTCTGTTGTTTTGAGATGCCTGCAACTCCCGACGGCCACAGTAGGCGGACTCCATATCCGCGACATTTCACGCCCCTTTGTGTGCAGATCCTACAGCCTAGCGGAGCCGTCAGCATTTAACCCCTGATAATTTCGATCGTATGATCATCCCAACTGGGTACTTAGGGCAAAGGAACTTACGAGGCAGGCCCCCATCACATTGTCTGTTCTTATCTAGACACGTCCAACATGTGCCACTATCATTCTGTCGCTCAGTCTGGGGTAGATTCCGCTCCATTATTTGCGTCGTCAAATTGCGATGACATATCAATCCCACTGTATGCTTTGAGGCAAGAAAAGAAAGAGGAAAGTGGGCGCGGCGGAATACCCCCGTGGGCGGAAGACATGGAACTGGCTTATCATTTAGATTTGGCGTCTTTCCCCGCCTGGACTCCAAAAAAGAACGCCACGACCGATTAGTCCTAGTGGCCATTTATACTGCTCTCTATATCAAATACGAATTAAGACTTTTAGCCCAGCCCGTTTGATTGGTGTGCACTAAAAACTGGCATTACTATGCCTATCTACATCATAGATGGAATATACAAAGGTTGGGTTTCGTTCCGTGCGGGGATTCTGGGGTACGCATATCCACGGCGCGACATAACCCGAACCATGGGCATTCACAACCAGCGCAGCTCGAAGTACCCCTCGCCCCCCCCCC